ACCAGGTCACCAGGTCACCAGGTTAATTAACTTCTCTGAAAAAATGAGACAACATGACATTTAGACAACAACATAGGATTAATGCAAAAATAAATTCAAATCATACTTTATAAAGCTTCATTTACAGGTATTTCATCGTCAGTAAATGAATCCTCATTATCGTTTGGTTCAACCTGTTTATATAATCCTTTCATTTCTTCTTTCAAAACATAACACCATGTTTGTTTACCGTCTATTTTTCTTTGTTTCCTTTCACATTTATTCTTAATACTCATTTGGAAATTCTTGTCTTTCATGTCTGATGGTTTGCAGAATAGAGCATTTTCACACGTCATACCTGCACTCAATTCATCATAATATGTATTTATCCATACATCTAAAGGATTTGTTGATAACTCGATTAAATCTTGTTTGGCTTCAGTCATCGGAATGATTCGTACATTAAATGATGAAAGGTCGTAATTGATAAAATACGTCAGCAAATTATCATAAAATTCCTTAGTGCATGAATCCATTAAATTCTTGAAGTAATCAAATTGACCCTTAAATTTACATATCTTCTGTCTCCAACTTCAATTTTGACAGGGTAAACGTTTTGTCATGATTTCATCGTAATGAGTGTAAATGACCCAAAATATATTTTAGGGTAGAAGGGTAGATCTAACCTCATTTCTAACCTCATTTCTACCCTCTTGCGATTTTCATACGGAATCTCTTCTCTCGGTTTTCCGAGGGAAGCAATCATATGAGGAAATTCTTCTAAAAGTTCTTTTGTCTGTTGGTTTTCAAACCAATGATATGCTTGCTTTGTAGAACGAAGAGCATTCATTATACTTTGCATTTGGTACATGTCATCTTTGACCGAACGAATGAGTCTCAATTGTTTGTTATATTGTATGTATTCATATTCTTCATTTATGGCTTCATGAACGATAGCAGTTGTTGTGTTCTCTGTTGTTGACATATCTGTCATTTCATACAAAATAAAAATAATTTTAAAACTAACTTTATTTTCTGACTTTCACAAAACCAAAAATAAACGCTTTATATGTATTTTTCAGCAACTTCGTCAAATAATTTTATAGCTTTATCTATCTCATCTACTTCAAACGTTTACCTTTCATGGGAGCACCATACATTTTCTCAAACTTTTCAAGTAGTTCTGTTTCAGCAGCTCTCATATCATTAACGAACACAACCTTGACTCTATTGACTGTACTGTCATATCTTTGAGTTATATTATATGTTCTTCCTATCTTATATCTCTTTGTATTGAAGTCCTTCGGTTTCTGAACGATATAAAGTAAGCCTTCACTGCAACGTTCTGAGTCGAATGAACCATATGTTATGAAGTTATATCCAACAACTGGGTCTAACCATAACAAAACTATTGGTATAAGACTTTTGTCAATGAGATATGCTCTTGTTCCATGAAATGCTACCGATATCATAAGCTCAGGATTTCTTGTCAAAATTTTCTGAGTTGAAGCATTTCTAACCCAGTCGTTTGTTTTCTTTTCAGATGGAGATATAATGTCTGACAAAGAATATTTGTTGTATTTCTTTGAGTATCTTACGTTTAAATCACCTATTCTAACCACTTTGGTGTCATTGTCTATCTTTCTAACTGTTTCAAACTCAATGTTTGTCATTACTGTTCTTACATACAAGATAAAAATTTTCTTAGAAAAAATTAGCGTTATTTTTCTAACTAATGAAATTCATGAAATTTGTTGCTGAATTCAGCAAAAATAATGTTTAGGGTAGAAGGGTAGATCTAACCTCATTTCTAACCTCATTTCTACCCTCAAGATTTACAAACGTTTAACGTGATATACGTTATGAATTCGTGAAATTTCAAATATTTTTGTAGCTTCTATTTCTTCAGTTAATATATCAAAAATTTTAACAATGCCGAAAGTTTCTTTATACTTCTTCTTGACATCAGATAAAAGGAAATCATCAGCTGTGGGATAGTTTTTATTAAGAAATGTCAACATGTCCATTTTATCTTCTGCTGGCTTTTCTGCTTCTTTCTTTAAGTCTGCGTAATCGTTTCTCATACGTTCTATTTCTTTGACGGAGTAGTTATATTTCCTCATTGCTGCTTTACATTTTGAGCATTGCGGATTCATTTTTGCGTTATACATTGAAATTTGACCTGCTAGAACAACTAAAGCATCAATGGCTTTCTTTAAATCTGAAGCAGTTGGTTTTATCTGTTTGTTCCATACTTTGCCTCTTCTGTCTTTATCTCTTATCTGCCACACACATTCAGCAGCTAATGAAACAAAGTTATCGTAAGTCTTAAACTCCTCAGATTTATATATGTCAGAAATGTTTTTATAAACCATGTCACAATCTTTGTTCATAACTTTATGGTTGCAATGAAAACCAAGGAATTCATAATTTACTTTACGTATGAACTTCTTTATTTCTACTGAATCAGTAACTTTAACTTCAATTTCATCGAATTCAGGAATAGTTAGTTTTTGTTGCTGAACTTCCGGGTAATTTAGGCAAATGGTCTATGATATCTTGCATTTCATATAGCTCCTCTCCATTTGTTTCATCTTTCGCACTACAGTCTAAATTACTTGTTAAAAGTTCTTGCTTTATTCTTTGTATTTCTGTTTCAAAAGTATATGAAGAAGGAATGAAGTTTTTCATCTCTACCAACATTGACGTAGGATTCATGATTAATGAATTTGGTGCCGTAGTTGTGGACAGAGTCCCGCCGTTCGTGGCTTGAATTGTTGTTGTGCCGATTGTTGAAATCATATCTTTACATACAAGATAAAAAAATAAAAATAAAATTAGCGTTATTTCTTCTGTCTTAAGGAAATTCATGAAAATTCATGAAAATTCATGAGGGTAGAAATGAGGTTAGATCTACCCTTCTACCCTAAAATATATTTTTATTGAATTCAGCAACAAAATGAACGAGGTCAGGATGTATGTAAATACCTTTGAATTCATTTATAACGCCCTTAGTAAGCTCATAAAATGCTTGTTTTGAGGTGGAGCCAAAAGTGGCTTAACGAAAACATTAATATATAAAATTCATGAAAATTCATAACGTATATCACGTTAAACGTTTGTAAATCTTGAGGGTAGAAATGAGGGTAGAAATGAGGTTAGAAATGAGGTTAGATCTACCCTTCTACCCTAAACATTATTTTTTGGTGTAAATAAATGGTACCATTAATGATATCATGACTGTTCTCGTTCATGTCTGATTTACATCTAATGAAAAAGTTTAGAAGAATTTTCTTATTCTTTCTGGCATATTTTTGTCTTTCCAGTACTCCCGCTCTAATGGACCCAGATGTGTTGGCTTCAACTCTCTCAAGTTCCGCCTCCTTCATAAGTTTTGACAAATCATTTCCGATGAAGTTCTGACAAATCATTCCCGATGAAACCATTAACGTAAACATTTACGATGAAGTCTTGACAAACCATTAACGTAAACATTTACGATGAAACCATGACAAAACATTAACGTAAACATTTACGATGAAACCATGACAAAACATTAACGTAAACATTTACGATGAAGTCTTGACAAACCATTAACGTAAACATTTACGATGAAACCATGACAAAACATTAACGTAAACATTTACGATGAAGTCTTGACAAACCATTAACGTAAACATTTACGATGAAACCATGACAAAACATTAACGTAAACATTTACGATGAAGTCTTGACAAAACATTAACGTAAACATTTATTTCCAGGACTGTTGTCTAAATGTCATGTTGTCTCATTTTTTCAGAGAAGTTAATTAACCTGGTGACCTGGTGACCTGGTGACACCTTCAGTTCTTCAAAAATAATTAATTATTGAATAACCTGAAACCATAAACGATAAAATATATTTTTGGTCGTTTATGACAAAAATAAATGGTTCATTTACTCACAATATTTTTTTACAAAACGACCCCAAACTTTTAACTTCTTTTCTGCAGTTTCTAATGCTATCTTAGCGAGTTCATATTCTCTAAATTCTCTCTTTAAATCTTCTTGTTCCCATTGGTCTAGTTCGTATGGAGAATCTCTATAACCATAATATATCTCACGTTCATGTTCTAATTGTTTTTTGCACATTTTTCTAACTTCTTCTTCAAACAAATGTTTTGCATTCTCTACTGTATCTTCGAGTTCTTCTTCATCTAATTTCTCATGAACTTTCTTGTCTATGGAGTCCATAATTTTTCCAACTGCTATGCAATATTTTGGAGAAGCCCACATTGCTATATAGTTTATAAGTCTTGGGTCTACATACGTTCCTCTAACCTGTTTGATTTCATCAGGAATTCCTGCATGAATTTTGTATAAAAAGCAACCGTCTGAATTCCGGCGGTTGCTATATTCTTCACAAAATGCCTTATAATACTCTTCCCAGGACTTATTTTCCAACAACTTTCTAAAGTCTTTCCTAAACTGCTGACACATATTTGTTGCATTAATGTAACCATCCTTGTCTCTACGTAGGACTTCAATACCGTTATAAGTGCCTTTTGTGAATGTTTCGCCATTAGATTTGTTCGTAAATGATTTTGCTTCGACTGACATTTCTGTTCTTACATACAAAATAAAAAATGAAACCGATTTTAAAACTAACGTTATTTTTGGATTGCATCAAATTTCCAGGACTGTTGTCAAAATGTCATGTTGTCTCATTTTTTCAGAGAAGTTAATTAATCGAGTGACACATGGTGACCTGGTGACACCTTCAGTTATTCAAAAATAATTAATTATTGAATAACCTGAAACCATTAACGTAAACATTAACGTAAACATGAGACTTTGTCTCCGGACTCTTTGAGTCACTTAACGTAAACATTTATTTCTGCAGTTCATCCATTACTTCATTACCTAATTAATTACAGACATAAAATATATTTAGTTCATTCGGTAAGCCTAAACCCTTTGGGTCATGTCTCAAGCACATTCAATGAACTCGGTAAGCCTGCAAAGTAGGCTCAAGTGTGTTCAATAAACACGGTACCATGCGAATACAGTCACAAATGGTGGCATGTAATCTTTACCCGAGCCTGTTGGATTTGTTGTGAAAGTGTGTGAATGATTACCTGTGGTTCCACAGAAAATACCTGTGCTTGAATCTACTGGGTCAGTTGTGATATCATATCTATTCATTCCCCATCTATCCGAACCCGCTGCAAGATTTATATAACCTCTTTTTGTTATTGAATGTGAATGATTACCTGTTGTGTTTGTAGTTCCTGTATGAGTGTGCGGTGGAAGGTTTGCTTCTTTAATTTTCTTCGAACCTCCTGTTTGCTTTGAATATCTAGCACAGTATAAGAATTTATCTACAATCTGCTTCCATGAACCAAAACCTAAAACTGTTGATGGATTTGTTGAGTTCATTGATGTATAAATAGAACCAACAGGATATAATGTTTGAAGTATTTCAGTCTTTAATGTTTGAAGCTCTGTTTTGTCAGCTTTCTTCTCTAACTCATCGTTAACATAAGTTTTATCTGCTTTCTTCTCTAACTCATCGTTAACATAAGTTTTATCTGCTTTAAGATCTAAACATCCTGAAACCCATTCTGTATCAGCTTTAACTTTAAAAGTCTCAAATGTCCATTCATGATACCATTCAACCTTTTCTTTAATTTCATTATCTTTTTCATCAACATAAACCAAATTTGCCTTCTTATTTAACTCACTATCCACATATTCCTTATCCACCTTCTTCATTATGTCATTTAGGAAACCTTCTATGAATTCCTCATTTAAATTAAATCTTCCAATCTTCAAAACTTTAGGAAATGCATTTAATGCGTAATATCTTTGTTCTTCTGGTGGAATTGATGTTATATCATCCGTTATACCTTTAATTTTAGAATTCATAAATAAAATTTCTTTTATATTTGATATCACTGCACCACCTTTGCAAACGAATTCGAAATGTTCATTTTTCAATACTATCTCCAAATCTCCATATTTCAACCTTTGCGTTTGTTCTGCCGTCTTTGAATTATATGCATATATGGCGTATGTAATGGTCTGAAGGACCTGGGTGTTTTGCGCCTTAAGTTGCTGTGGTTGCTGTTGTTTAATCATTTATTATGATTTAAAAATAAATATTTAATCCGTTATCTCATCAGCTATTTTTCTATTTGAAATTGCCATAATATTTCATTCATGAATTCTAAATCACAATCAAATAGGTCAGTTATTCTAAATTTAATATTTGATAAATCTTTTGAATGAAGAATAAATGAATTCCCGGATAATTGAAACGGATATGATAAAGAAAATGTGTTTAAGTTGATGGATAAAATGTTTTGTATTGATGGGTAAGAGTTATGGTCTAATGTTTGATGTGAAAATCTCATTGGGGTATTAACTTTATCACATTTGATTAAAATGAAATTGGAACCAGTGTCAGAATACAAAACATCCCCAACATCTTTTTCAAAATTTAATATCCCCAACAATGAACGAAGATGAGGAGTACAAAATTTAATTTTCAGCGGAAATTTAATAAGGTTATTTATTTCATCAAGTTCAAAAAGTTTATCAGGTTTTGATTTAAAATTTTCTTCATACCATACGATAAATGATTCATTTAAATAACTTAAAATCATGTTAATATCCCATTTCGTTATCACATTATTTATATACATATCATACGTTTTTTCATGGTCATCTTTAATAAATGATATATAATCTGAAGGGTCTAAAAGAATGGGATTAAATTTACCACTCACAGAAACGAGAGTAACATTATAAATTCCGCTAACTGTTAAATTTAATTCACAGCTATTATTCGAAATAATATTGATAATTGACATTTTTATTACGATTAAAAATATGGTAAAGCGTTATTTTCCAGTGATAAATAAAACTAGAATAAGATTACCTCAAGAATTCATAAATTCAACGAATAAGAAATTCATTCATGTTATAAATTTTAGTGTTTTCAGAAAATATGAGTCAATGTCATATTCATCAACAGGTTATATTTCACTTCATTCAAATTTAGTTCAATCAAACCCATATAATGACCATTTCATAAGATTTTCAGATGGTATTAAAAATGTAATTGATAGATTAAAATATGAACAGATTGACAATATCGAATTTTTGGAATTTTGGTTTAAATATCCCGATGGAAAAAAGATTGAAGTTAAAGATAAAGCTGATACTATAACAAAAACAATTACAATGACCGATCCGGATAGTGGTGAACAAAAAGAAATAAAACAAACGATAGAAACTGGTGAAAGGTCAATTATTATTGATTATGATTCAAAGGATTATTATTCGATAATGTTAATGCTTGAATATTAAATAGCCTTAACAAAGAATTTTTCAAGTGATATTTTATATTCATCAACTATTTTATTATAAATATCATTATATGTTAAATGAAGTTCAGTTGTTGTTCCGTTCTTTGATATCTTAATTGTGCTAATATCCTTTATAGGATTTATTTTTGCAACTGTTCCGCAGCATGAAACCTCATCATCTATGAAAAATTGAATCTTAACGTCTGAATCTTGAACATCACAAAGAATGGCGATAATGTGAATTAATGATTCATAAGGTAAAATAATTAAACCGGATTGGTCAATTAAATTTATTATTGAATCATAATTATTAATTATTATATCACGGTAAATTTTCATTAATTCTGAATTAATGTCTATTTTATATGGGTTCTCGATGTTTGATGAAAGAGGTGGGGGGTATGTTGGATAAGTGGGAATTTCAACAGGTTCTTTACCAGGTTCAGATAAAATGATTGGGTCTCCATCTTCTTTATTTTGCTCCTCCTCATTCTTCGGTAAGTCACGAGTTAATAAATTTGGTTGAGTTGCTGACCTTGTTAATTCAGGGCTAACATTAACTTTAACATTTTGAATAATTCGTGATTTATCATCATTTACGTTATAACCAACCGTAATCTCTGCTTTTGCGTTAGTGTTCTTTTGACTAGTGAAACGTCTTCTCATTTATAATCGAATAAAAAAATATATTTAAACTTTTATTTTGCTGGAACTTTTGAATCTATTATCCCTGTATTTGTTCATGAAGTTGATTTTTAGCATTTTCATCGAAATTAATAGACCGAATATATTCATTAATTGCATTCTTATAATCATCTGATTTCTCAAATTTTCTTTTATCTGATTCCTTAACTAAATCATAAGTTAAACCTCGTTGCTGATATAATGGTTTCTTAATTAAATCTTTGAATGCTTGAGATAAAGCACCTGATGCAATTCTTGCTACTATAATTGGTTGGAATTGATGTTTAAGTTCATCTTTAACATTTGCGAAAACTGGATCGAATAAAGCAACTTTAAAGAATTTCTTAGCTGAAATTTCAGGTCTAATATTTGCATATTGACCATCAAACTGGTTAGAATATCGTGGTAATCCATCCGGTCCCTCTTCAATAGCATTTAATTCTTCATTGAAATAAGAATATGGATTATAACGGTATGCATTAATTGGACCATTTTCACCTTCTCCAATGTGTTGTTTAACAGCTTTTCCATTTTCATCAAATTGCATAGGATAACGTTCATTATATGCTTTACGTTTAGGATAATCAGACATAGTTAATTTGTAACCATTTATGACTTTAATATTACCTTGACCATCAGTAACGAAAACTTCATTTATACCATCAGGTTTTCCATTTGGACCCGTAATGTCTGCTTCGTGTGCTTTCCAATTTGGACCATGACGTTTGGCATATGCTTGAGCTTCTGGTAATGTTAAAACGTTTCTCATTTGTTTAACATCTTTTTGAAGACCAGCAACAACATGAACTAATTCTTTCATTCCATCAGGAACTTTCATAGTTCTATTATATGTACCCTTTTTGTTTGTCCCTTGTTTTAATGGAACCTGTAGAAGATTTACCATTTCTGTCATGTTTAATTATAAATAAAAAATAAAAATTAATCATAAAAAGTTAATCAAATTTAACACTTCCTTTATTTAAATCAACTATTATTTTTCCATGTTCACCTAATTGCTGATATTGTGTGTAAAGTTCATTAATGCTCATTGGTAAATTCACTTGATAAAGCATAACGTTCAACTGTTGACGACTAAACCCTGAAAATGAAAAGTGTTGATAGATTTGATTTAATGTTTGTGCTTAATGCTTTGAAGTATTGAACAGCCATAAAGAATGAACACTGAATGTGTCGACATTGAGTTAATAACTGATTAAAATATGATTTCTCATTTGTTATTAGTTTTGATTTCACTGCATCATCTAGAAAAATGAGTGAATGCAAAAATTCTCTATCAAAATTTGAAATAGAAAGTGTTTCAAATAATTCATCCCGTTGTTTATCAATAATTTTATCCTCTAATCCTTGCTTCTTGATTGTATTATATAATTCTTTATACATTAAAAAGTTTTTTAAATAATCTTCTGCTTCTTCTTGTGATAAATAAATAATTGGAATTTTGATTAAATGCTTTAAAGATTCAAATGTATCATCTGAAGGTGAACCTGAACGGTTGATATAAATTAACACATGTGAATGGGGGAGGTGTTAGCAATAATGATAATTTGTTTTAATATCGTTAATGTTTTACCTTTATTTTGTTTACCAATTGCTGCAGTGATTGAATTTAAGTAACATTCAGAATATGGAATTTTCATTAATTTTTCCTTAGATAGAGCATTTCTATTATCACTCAATGCTTCATTAATCATATCATCTATGTATGTATTATATACTCCGGCTAATTCTTCATAAGGGGTGGATGAATTTAAATCCATTTAATCAAAAATAAATTTATAATTTTAAACATTTCTATTCATCAATATTTCATCATATGAACTTCTATACTGTGGTGGTGTACCTGTTGGATGATATTTCAAACCTTCATCCGGTGTCCATGTCCAATATGTTGTCCTAGTAAACCAAACCTGAGGAGGATTTGTCACCTTTGAACAGTAAGTGTCATTTACACCCTGAATGATTGGATAAGCTTTCACTTGTACTGTAACTTGTGAATTGAAAGTTTCTAATCCATCAAAGAATATACCCGCTCCATCACGTTGAACTGGAATAGTGCATAAGAATGAGGTTTGGTCTTTCCATGTTCTAGCTAATGGCGTGCCATCATCTGCATTCAGTGGTCTAGTTAATGAGTCCTCGTATTCTTCTGTGCATTCATTCACTCCATCTAAATCAGAAGCTTGAAGCATACGTGTAAAGAATATGTCACCCACTGTGGTCATCGCTTGATCGGGGAAGTTTCTGGAATCTATAGTGACCTGAAGACCTCGAAGCATTGGATTTTCTAAAACTGTTCTTTGCATTGCATTCTTCGGAAATGCTAACACAACATCTGTAACATTATGAAGAGCGTATGAGAAATCTGAGCTAATACCTTCAGGAGTGATGCAACCTCCATTTAGTGAACGAACGTCAATATGTTGAGCTGGAATCATGAATGGATCTTCCTTACTGAATAAACGTGGTATTGCTTTAACTGATTCTTCAATTAAACCGTATCCTGGTGTAATGCATTTATCCTCTAAAACTTCCATCTTTGTGCATGAAATAATAACGTCATCAACTGTTGCGTCAGCAGATGTAGCGGCTAAGCTTGTAATTAATTTGGCAGGAAGTCTGATTTGTTGGAATTTGCGATCATATTTATAAACATGATTCATAATCTTTTCATAATTTTCATCAGTTATCTTTTCATAAACGTAATTTTGTAAATCAGCAACTCTTAACGGGTCAACCTGACAAAATACTAAAGTATCCCTGAAAACATAATATTTAAGAATGATATCACCAAATGATTTAGGATAATCATCGAACGCCTGAAATGCTAACAAATCATTTACCGGAATAATCATATCAAAAGTGACATCAACTTCTTCATTTGCTCTTTGAAAACTTCTGAAGGGTCAATATATTTACCACATACTGAGTTATCATATTTTTGAACATTATTATATAACGAATGAACAAACTTTTTAACTTTCCTTTCTGATTTTGGTTTATATGTTGCAAATGCGAAAGATTCACGGGCGCAATCCATCTGAAGATAACCAGCATCACCTCTTTCGGTTTCTACTTCTAATTGTTTAAAGCTTTGATTTGATGATTTGTAACCAACGAATAAACGCATGCATTTAAAAGCGGCATCACATGTGAAAGCTTTATTTGAAACTAGAGTTGCTTTAACTTTGCGTTTAATATATGTGTCACCTAATTGGTTCACATCATGAGCCGGATTTGTAATTCTTAAATGAGTTTGTTTATCATCAAAATATGGAGCATCAGAGTCATAGCATGAACTTTCAAGTTCTCTATAATATCTTCTACCGTCATTCTTTGCGAATATTTCATTTATCTTTTCGAATGAATGAAACACATTTCCATTAATCGGTTTAGTGTTTGGCACCAAATAGTTAGTCGTCATTTATTAATAAATAAAAAATCAAAATTAAAAGATGAAAATGAATTTTTAATTTTAATGAAATAATCAACTATGGCTGCAGGATTCTTTAAAAAATTATGGGATAAAGTAAAAAGAGGAGCGCATAAAGTTTGGGAAACAATGAAGAAAGGAGCAAATTGGATATTTAAGAATAAAGAAGCAATTAGTGACGTTGCTGAATCAATAACACCAAAAGCTGCCCCAATAAGAGAAATATTAAATAAAGGAGAAAAAGTTTATCAAAGACTTCAACCAATACTAAGATAAAAATAATATTTATTTATTTTTCCACTATCTACCTCCTATTTTATTAAGTATTCCTTCAGCAATTCCACCAACTGCGTTACCTGCTTGTGCTCCCATCGCCGGATTACCTGCTTTAGTACCTAATACTCCACCTATGATAGTTCCTGCCGTTTTCGCTACTGGTGCCAAAAAGTTTGCAACGGGTTTAATAATCTTTTTATGAACCCAACCTGCAGCTTTCTTAATTCCATCCCATAATTTTTTAAAGAATCCTGCCGCCATTTCTGATTTAATATTAATTAAAAAATATATTTCATCACTTATATTCTAATTTTTATTTAATGATAAATGAAGCCGATTTTAAAAATAAATGAAACAGAGAAGGAAGAAATAAATGAAAGTGAAGATGTTCAACAAAAAATAAACGTTGTTAAACCAATTACTGAAATAAAAATTTTTTCATCTGTTGAAGAATTTAATGACTATTATGCTAACAATAAAAAATTATTTGAAGAATTGACAACATGTAAATTGAATAAAATGTTTAAAGTTGATGGATTCAAAATTTCAAAAATAAAGGGGGTGGTTAGTTTGAAATCTATTCCCCAATCAAGAATCACCTCATTAATGAAAATTGATGATTTAACAAAAAGAATAGAAGAGATTGAAGAAAGAATGAATCAAATAATTGATTTCATAAATTATTCAAAAATGTAAGACATGAATTTTTAAAGTTTATTTTTTATTCATGAAAATAATTATTTCTAATTTCTTTTACTCTCTCGTACATACTAGATTTAAAGAATTCAGAACTTTTACCATAATCTCCTAAATGTTTTCTTATCTTATTGGTTTTCCATTCATTATATGAAACTGTATAAACTTTATCTTTATCTTTGCATCTTTCATCACTTCCAATATATTTATATTCCAATTTTGATTTATTGGTTTCATATTCATTAACGTTTAATAATTCACAGTCTTCCTTTTTAAATAAATGTTTTATGTATTCAGGATTAACAATTCTATAATATTGCTTCCCTTTAAATCTTTGAATATAAACAGGAACACCATCCTCTAAAATTCGATAATCTATTTTATCTGGTTTTACTTGTTGGGTCATTTATGTAAGAATAAAAAAATAAATTATTTTAAAATTAATATGTTAAAAAAATGATACAAAATCGCTCGATATTGTATGAATTCTTACGTTTACAAAAAAAGTCACACAACCCATCCTATCCTACTACTTTAATTCTTTATTTTATTAAAACTAAATCTCTCGTCTTTAGGCTTTCTTTGAAGTATGCTAACAACTGGAAATGGTTTTCATATCCAAAAGAACAAAGATATAATATACGTTATTTCGCTGTCAATTTTTTTTGAAAGGGATTTGTTAAAAAATGATATCAATAAAGCAAGCTTTAAATTCTGGAAATGGTTTGGAAGCTAACCAGACACCAGAGGAGGGAACGAATCAAGAACAAAATCCCCAAAGTCCAAAAAATAATTCCGAAAATCAATCGCAAAATGGAGAAATAGCAAGTCCGAACTCTGCCAAATCTAATAAATCTAACAATAATTCTGTTAACGTAAGCGGAAATGCATCTCAAAGAAGTAATAAAACAGAAAAAAATTCAAATCAAGGCGAAACCGAACAAAATAACGATGAAGTTAAAAGTCAAAATTCTGAGCAACCCGAAAATAACGAAAATCAAGATCAAAACGATCAAGAAAATAATAACGGAGATACAGCAATTTCAGACGAAACATTAGACAAAGTGCATGGGATGGTAGATCAAAATTTCATTACAGAGCAAACGAATACGAATGAAAATCCTGAAGAAGAAAATAATGAAAATCAAGATAACCAAGAAACAGGGGATAATAATTACATTTCGATCGAGAATTATGATCCAAATAATAAGCAGCCCTTTACGGAACCTGAAACTCTTCAGGCAATTGAAGAAACGGGTGTTGAATTTGATGATTTGTTTATGCCTTCTGATGCAGAGCTTGCTAAGTATCCTAACGATCAAGATATTCGCGATGTTGTCTTAAATCACTATCAAGATCGTATATCAAGGCTCTCAGAATACGTAAAAACTCAAAGACAAAATATAATTGAAGCGCAACAGAACAAAAACCAACAAACAAACGACGGAAATGAAGAAGAACAAGCTAATGAAGACGATAATAGTCGAATTATTCATGATCCTCGTAATAGATACAAAAAAGAATTTGAAGCAATAATTCTTCAAATGTTGAGAGAAGAAAAGAACCAACAAGACAGTTTGGCGAGGACACAAAGAGATTTGGAGCGTGAAAAACGTAAAGAAGAGGAAAGACAACAAAAAATTAAAGAATCTAGAATGAAACACATCCAAAAACTGAAAGAACTCCAAAAGATGGAAGAAGAAAGGCAAATTAATGAAGAACAGATGAGAAGAGAACAATACAAGAAAGAACAAGAAGCAATGCAAGCTCAAAAGAAACTTTTAGAAAAAAGAAAACAAGATTCGATCGAAATGGAAAGAATTCGAAGAGAAAACATCAAAAGAGCACAGTTAAGATTAGAAGACTTAGAAAAGACGAGGAATGAAGAAATTAAAGAGAGACAATTGAAATTGGAAGACCAAGAAAAGAGAAGAGAAGAAAGACTGGAAGAAGAAGAAAAAGAAAGACAAAGAAAAGCAAAAGAAAACGAACAAAAAGTCAAAGAATTGATGCAAAGACAAAAGAATGCAGAACTTGAGAGATCCCAAATAAAGACGGAGAAAATGCAACAGAGGGAAAGAAGATCTCAAGAATGTTATGAAAAATACCAAGAAATGCAAAAACAAAAATCTCTTTCATTAAGGAGAGATTTACAAATGAAAATAAAGAGAAATCAAAACACAAGAAGATCATTATCAATGCAGGATGAACAGAACAAGAAACAGATCAATGAAAGATATTATAATAGTCTTCAAAGAATCAATATGTTGAATGAAGAAAGAAAACAAGCGAAATCAAGATGTGTATCTCGTGATGCAAGTTTGAGACAAGATATGTTGATAGAAAAGCAACATAAAGAACAGCAACAAAAGATAATGGAACTTGAAAAACAACAGAAGCATAGAGAAGAAGAACATCAAAAGTATATGGCTGAATTAAAGAAACAAAGACAGATAAGACAAATACAAGCAAGATTAAAATCAGATGATTGTGAAATTGCTGCAAGAAGACAGAAATATCTAAGAGAAAAGAGATTGAACGATGTTCAAAAGAGATTAGATGAAAATGATGAAAGAATAGAACGCGAAAAACAAAAGAAACTTCAAGAGCAACAAACGAAGATCAAGAACTCAGAGAAAATGGCCGCTCAAGTAGCAATGATGAAATTCGAAATCGAAGAAATAAAGAGATTAGGAAAGAAAGTTGATATTGATAGTTTAGGTCAGAAATATGGAATTGATGTTGAAGCTTTGAGGCAAAGAGTTTATTCAAGACAAACATTGAGTGAAACACTGCCACCTATCAGACCTAAATCAAGAGCTTCGTCTGTCAAATCAACAGAAAGTCAACAAAGTCAATCTTTTGCTCTTTCTCAACAAATCACTGAAAAAGTTTCGAATTTGGGTGATGAAAATCAAAACGAAGAGGAAGAGATGAACCATTTTCAAGAGGAAGAACAGCAACAACTAGAGGAACAGCCACAACAAAATCCTGAAGAAGAAGAAATTCGTCAAAATCAACCAGAAGAAGAAGAGAAAAATGAAGAACAAAATCAAAGTTTGATGTCAGGTTTGAGAGAAAAAATCCAGGATTCTCAGATGATGAGTGACAATCAGAGTGTTAAATCTGATAATCAAGCAAATTCTGTTAGATCTGATAATAACTCTCCAAGTGGAAGATCAAATGGTTCAAAATCACCAGCTCAATAATTTAATTTTATATTTTTTATTGTTTATTTGTTATAAAAACATATGTTGTTTAATGAATTACTTAGATATGTTGATTTGCAAAAATGAAAAATGGTAAAATTTTGCAAAATTTTGGATTTTGTAATTCAATGAATTTTTACGGTTATTTGACAGTGTGAATGAATTCGGAAGAAAGTCAACCTCATCGGATGACAATGTTTGGAATAGTTACTACAATGTTCAATTCACAGGCGAAGAAACTCGAAACCGTCAAAATTACAATCTTCCAGCAGGAAAAAAACAATATTTCTTAGACGAGTGCAACTTCTTTGATGATCATGACCGTGTTATCAATTTTAATGATATTTCCGACACTTTATTTCTACATAACCGCTGTTCATTTAGTAATTGCACTTCAATATTACAAGGAAGTTGCGTTTACTACAAAATTGGCAAGAATAGTTCAATTATTCAACGCAAATTCTGCTGTACAAAGTGCAAAGGCCAAGGTTTGGGCCAAATTTCATATACAGAAGTTGGCAGAGATAACTTAAACTTTATTATTGAAAGTTCCATTTTCGATTCAGGAAATGAAAATGGAGGATCTGTTTTTCAAACATTGTATGATAACATCGTAGTTTCATCAACAAATTTCTCATCAAATAAAGCTAAATACGAACCTGCAGGACATTATGAAGCTAAACCAGATAAATACACAACAACATTTAACTATTCAACTGTTGTTAATAATTTAGCAACAAATGATATATTAAATTTTTGGTATAACTCTTTGATTGATTCATGTAATATTATAAATAATACTAATACAAAATCAGAAAGAGGAATTATTGCTCATTGGTATAATTCTCATACTGTAAAAAGTTGTTCTTTTATAAACAACACTACTCCTCAAGGTTCATGTTTGATATATAACTATTATGATGAATTAACAGTTGATAGTTGTTACATTGACAATTCGATTTCAAATACATTTTCTAGAAATGTAAAACCTACTAATACAAGAGAACTATTTACTAACAAATTGATTCATTTTTCAACTGATATTTGCCAAGCAGAATTTGCAATTATCAAAAAAAGTATTTCTGAAGTTAATAAACTTTCTCTTTTTTTACAAACTTTAGTAAACATTTCTAACTCTTCATAATCTTTTTCTTCATCAATGAGACTTCTGTGTTTATGATGAGATTTATACGAGACTTCTATATTTCTAATTTAGCTGATGTAATGTTTTTTCTTGATTTCTAGAATTCTCTCTGAAAATTTCTGCAACTGAAACTATACCCGCACCTATCTCTTAGTCTCCCAAAAAAAATTCTGTGGAAAACGATTAAAAATTTGTTATTTTTTTTCAAAAATGACAAGCACAATATCACGAACATATAGTGATATATTGGTTGCTTGCACATCTGGAAAATGTTCAATACCATTCGAAAGTGCGCCTTTTGAGTTTGAACGCAGTGATAAAACGAAAACAATAATTCAAGTTGTAGAAGGTGAAGGAAAATACTTAAAAGAGATGCCAAAGCAAGAAGAAGAGGAAGAAAAGAAAGAATTTGATCAAATCGTTGAATATGACATGAAAGGAAAGAAACCTGATGACGTATTAGATGATATCTATGGAGAAGTCAAGCAAATCTCCCAACATATCATACAATTAATGAAATCCCTATACGGTACTTCTGTTATGCAATTCAAAGCTTCTTTCGGGATTTATAACGAACCAAAGAAAATTTTCATTTTAGAAGGAGCTACAGCAGAAAACTTGAAATCTGCGTTTGTCGCTAACTTGTTCGGAAATATACCTAATGGTGAATCCGAATTCCAATATTTCATGCAATGCGCTATAAAACCAGACTTTTTCAAACCACCATGCAAAAATCCCGTTCATAAAGTTAAAAAGATCCAAGTTATATACTATCGCGCTCACATAAAATTCCCTTCAGTAAATGAATACAGATTATACAAAATTATTAAGGAAAGACTACAAGATATGGCTCCAAAAATACTATCAGAGACTGTTAATGTATGCATTGAATGCTCAATTAACTATGCTGGAGCATATAGAGAAGTAAAAGGTACAAAATTGTCAAATGGACAGCCAAAAGAAGTGGATCCACATGTATTTGAAGCATTAACACCTTTAGAAATGTCCCACAGACGTACCTTGCCTACAGGATTTACTCAAAACATGCATAAAGCGTATTGTTTTACTGTAAACCTCAGAGAATCTCCATATTCAGAGCAACCACTTACTATTTACAAGAGTAAACCAGGGAAACCGAAATACGAGAAAATTGCCCCTCTAAAAACCTCCAAAGATAAATGGGTCGAAAGATTAACAAAATATCAAACAGGAGGAGGCAAAATTAGGGAAATCAAGGAAGAACAACCTAACTATGCCCATGATGAGATCCAAATTCCTGATCCGAAACCTTTACCTCCAACATATTCGATGAGACTTGCAAAGAAGGCTTATGCGCCTATTCCTTTCAAATATGACTATGTAGATAAGAAGAAGAATGGAAAACAAAGGAAAATTGACCAGAAAAAGAAACCTCAAAAAACAGATCAAAAGAAGAAGCAAGAACAGAACGAAGAACAAGCTAAAATGGAAGAAGATGTAAAGGAAGAAGAGAAGCCAGAGGAAAGAGAAGTTGAAAATCAGCCAGAAAATACAAAAACAGAAAATGGAGCTCAAGCTGAAAGAGATGAAAATGAAGAAGATAAAGAAAATCAAAAAGAAGAGGAAGAAGAAAAGAAAGATGAGCCAAAACAAGAAGAAAATCAAGATTCAAATCAAAATCAAGAAAATAATGGAGAAAAGAAAGATGAAAACGAAAATACTGAAGCAAAACAAGAAGAAGAACATAATGAAAAGGATGATGAAGACGAGAATTTAGAAAATTCAGAAGGAGATCCGAAATAAATTTAAACCTTTCAAGACATCTGATACCTTTTGTCTGTTCTCATTGCACATCTTCAGTATTTATGCCAGATTGTATTCTATTCCCTTGTATTGTAAAATTTGTTTATATTAATTTTATGAAAACAACAAATTACTATTTCCATCTTCTCTAAAAAATATGAAATCTAATAAATTCATCGCTTAACTTTCAATAATTCAAAAAAAATTTCAATTCATAAAAAATGATAAACACTCAAAACTTAACTAAAAGACCATTGTAATTAAAAAAGAAATGGCATTAACTAATTGACTGTTTAGTAGTGAATAAAGGAAAAATACATGGAGTTTAAGCAGATGGTGGGGTTAATTTGACCTTGCCACCATCTGGTGACTCGATCTCTGTTTCGTTCTTTGTTAAGTAGTCACGGATCTCGTTGAGATGTGTATGGATCCAGAAGCTTGATCTTCTTCTGCAGTTATGGCACTCGCTGCCATATTCCTTGCCAATAGCTTTGGAAAGCTCTTCGCAAACCTTCTTGATATACGGAAGAGTGAGTCTCTTCTTGTCATAAACTGACTGAAGCCACTGATATTCAGCAGATTTTTCTGTCTGGAAGTCAGCATCATTCATAGCCTTCTTGAGGTTGGCCTCAATCTCTTTCTTGGTCATCTTTTTCTCTCCCATGATCGAAAAAAATGAGGTGCACGTTTAAAATAATCGTTTTATATTAGTTCACTTGTGGTTAGATACAACTTGGTATGCCTATTTGAGTCAATCAAAATTTTTGCATAAAAAGTTTGGAGCTGAATTTCCCTAACGGAAATCGACCGATGGAAGCTTTCAATTAAAAATCTTAAATTAAATTAAAAAAAATATCAAACCAAAACGGCATTATAATATTGATCAATGATAAAAATCTGGAATATTTAATCTGATTGATGAAAATCCATTCTTGATATGAGCTTAGAATGTTTCATGCAAAAATAAACTATCTGATGCAGGTATTTTGGCTTTGTAATGTTGAAGAATAGAAAATTGATCATTTTGTGAATAAATAAATTTTAAAAATCTTCATTTATCTCATATACTCAGTTTTTATAGGAAATTTATAATTAGAAATAATTTTTATAGATATGTATACATTTGAAAATGCATTAACTTGTTTTACTGTTGAAATAAACTAATTATAATATATAAATAGAACAAAAAAATGAAAAAGCAAAAAAACAAGATTATGAATCAAGAACAATTACGTATGGTTTTTGAAATTTTGCTTTTTATTTTTATTGTCATTAAGATTAATTAAAGCTTTAAGTGATTCTAAGCAATATGGAAATGTGCTTATTTGTGAATGAAGATCAATATTTTAAATGATTTCTATATGATTATATACAACTCCTAAAATATGAAGTCATGTCATAAATTAAACAACAATTCAATAGATTCTAATTGTATTCTCCTGATCAAGAATGTTATTTAAATTGAAAGCCTATCTTTTTACAAATCATAACTAAGCTGTAAAAACTAACAACCAAATTATTGATTTAAATGAATCTATTTATGTGATTAAATTTCATTTTCATAAATATCAATGTTTCTGAATTTAATATGCCAACAATTAATTGAAAGAAATATTATACTTCATATGACAGAAATTTGAAAATGTGATTTTGAAATTTTTGGAATTTGGTTTTAAGATGTAATGATTGAAATTAATCTGATGTGTAATAGGAACTAATAATATTCAACAAGTATAATATAAAAATACACAAGTTTGAATCTAGGATTTTTGAAAAGATACAATTTTTCATCACAGTTCATAGCAATTAACTAGCATCTGGAAAGAATAAACGATGGTATCATTGAGATGCATATATTTGTAATATTAGATTATTTCATATAATATTTTAGCGGAAGTTTATATTGAGATATTAATTATTTGATGTAATATGTAAAGGTATAGCAGAATATACAAATAAATTAGAAAAATAACTGGGGATCATTGTAAGAAAAATTCAATTAAAAAAGATCTAACATAAAAGAAATCATTCCCTATGGTTCTATTTCACAATAATAACATTAATTATTTGAAATTCATATCGAGGTATAATCTGATTATCGGTGGAATATGATAAGAATAATATGTGTATCAAATTGACAATAAATTCGCTTGCTGGTTGATGATTGAGAATACACTTGAATGATGTAAAATTTGCATCAAAAATTTGAGAAGTGGTATTCAAAAAAATAATCCGCTTGATTTGAATTTGGTTTGACTTTTCAGAAGAAAAAAACATTTTTCATCCAAGTTTGGATAAATAAAATATCATCTAGTATCACAAACATTAACATTACCTTTATTATTTGCTTATGCAAATTATTTTTGAATCTCTGAATTTCGATCAATTCGAATATTTTACGATTTGAAGATATAACATTGTTTGATTTATTATATGCATTTTCCCATTTACTCAACTTTTCATTTCAATTTAAATAGTTGGTATTCCTATTCAGATATGCATATGCTTTTATTACACAAATTTTATTTAATATCGTTAAATTTTTAGAGACCTATTTTATCAAATTTTCGCAACTCACAATTTCATTAAATTTTGCATTAACTCTTTTTGTATATATCATTTACTTGGTTACTAATTGAAGAGGAAATTGCTCTCAATTTTTAATTCTTTTATAAAACTACTACAATTATCATTACAATTGTAAATATCATCAATTGGTCATTAGTGTCACTTTTGCCACACTTTGAATTTGCCACCCTTTCAATTCATACATTCAATTCTTTTACCTCATATTTTTATCTTTTCTTTTTCTCATTTGAACATATATCACCAGTAACACCATAATATGCATTAATCCATATTTAAACTGCGCTATCAAAAATGAGTAGTTATATCGATAATTTCTTATTGAAATATTTAAAAACTGTTTCTGAATTTCCTACATAAAATCAATATTTACCATGTTATCCATATCATCCCGCTCCGGGTCAAAGATCGTTAAGTCTAAGTTCACTCCAGAAGAAGATCAGAAGCTCTTCAGCCTTGTTAATGGATTACAAGAGATTGACTGGAACGCGATCGCAAAACAATTCACACATAGAAATTCTCGTCAATGCCGTGAGAGATGGCAGAACTATCTCAATCCAAACCTTACAAAGGACAATTGGACTGAGGAAGACGACCGTCTTTTGCTTGAACGTTATAAGGAAATGGGTCCTCACTTGAATGCCATTGGAAGAACGCTCGGTAACCGCTCCGGAAATTCTGTCCGTAATCGGTACCTTGTTCTTATGAGATTCCAGCAAAAGCACCCAGAGTCTTCTCTGTTTAAGTCTCCATCATCTCCAGTCGAGATGCCAACTATTGAACCAGAAGAGGTTCAGATGAATTTATCTGAGCCAGCTCCAAAGAAAGATGCGGAAGTTAGTTTGATTGATAAGATTTTTAATCAAAACGTTATTGAAGGACTCTTCTCAACAGATGAGTTCGATTTCTTAGAATCTATGTTCATGTAAACTGTAATTTAATCATGAAGATTGCTTGCAAAAAAATCCATTCCGTTTTTTTTTCGATTCATTTTTCTCTCAATTTTTCTGAAGTGTTTCTGTAATTTTTTTTTCAAGCCAATAGTTTTGGCGCTCATATGACTGGCTTAGTATTTCGTTTTGTTTTATAGTTATTTACAATTTCTTCCGTATAATGAGTCTAAATCTTCGATGAAAATGCTTGACCATTTTTCCAATTGTCTTTGAAACCATACAAAGTACCTATCTTTCTAAGTGATTTCGTGCTAAATTAATATATACCCACTTGTTTATAGTGCAAAAACTATCAGGGACCCTTCGATAAAGACGGTAATTCTCAGTGGTGTAACATTTGGCTTACAGATCTATTATATGAATGCATATTTCATCCGATTATCATCTATTTCATATATCTTAGCGATTAGGCAATTTTAACCACTTATGATTCATTGAAATTATTACATTTAGGATTTGTGTTGATTTCAACATGATTACACTTTTTCTACATGAAAATCCCTAATCTTCTAATTGATCAATCTTTATTTGGTTTCTGATATTTCAAGCATTCACTCATGATCTCTTTGCTTCTGCCTAAAAATGATAATTCTAGACATTTTTGAGTTATTTCTGAGTTAAATTTTCGTTCTTAAGAACGAAACAAGTGGAAGCATAAGTTTTATTTTCATATTTTTTTTTCTAAACAAGTGGAGGCGTATTTTACAATAGATTTGTTTTTCTATAGGGAGGCAAATTTGGTGCAAGGTCTTTTAGTCATAACATGATATCTCAAAAATCTCAACACAATACATAGAAAATATAGATGTGTAAATGCGAAATATACATACATATATGAATACTTTCTAAATTGAATAGATACACTTATGAAAAAGCTAACTTGTATTCATTTTATAATTATTACAGTGAGTTTTTAAAGCAGCAACTAAATTATGCTAATTGATGGATATACCATACCTAATGCATGATTTAGAAAGGATTTTTTGGAAAATGAAACAATATCTTCCTAAGAAAATCATATCTTACCTAATCTAATGGAGGAATTAAAGTACAATCGAACCATTTTGTAAATCTAGCTAATTACTACTAAATGTCGATTTTTTCTTTATGTGGTCGATAAAATTCAATCAATTTTTTTTTAAAAAAATGGAATTTGGGCAAAAATTGAATGAACTAATTAATAAATCAACATACTCAAAGGAAGATATCTTTGAGTTCTTTGATTTACTGTCTTCAGTTAGCTTAGATTCGATTGAAAACCAAAATATAAAAATCAATTTTCTTTATTATCGGTCAATCCTCTCCAAACTATTCTCATCTATTAAAAATATCGAAACAAGCATTACTAGCGAGATAGGTTTGATAGCTACGACAGTTCAAAAATATATCGAATTATATCGAAAAGTTAAAGAAGCTGACAAAGAATTTCCAACAGAAGAACTCTCGAAATTACTAGAATTTCAAGCAATTCAAGAAAATATCGCCGAAATTCCTAAATTTTCTTTTAATGATAAACAAAAAATGCCAAATTATGAAAAATTCTGCAATTTTTGCATAGAATTCTTCCAACCAAAGCAATTTAAGTTTGTTGACCTTATTAATTTAGCTTTCTATTTTAACAAAAATTATTTAGAATTAATTCCAAACTTTTCGATCGATATTTTACAAAATTGCGACAAAGAATTATTTACAGATATTGAATTATCACCAGATTCATTCGTAGCTATCCCAGAAATGGTTCCTCCACTTGATAACGTTTTTGAGATTGATTTTATACAATATATCTATCAATCTGTCTACGGATATGAATTCCCAGAGAAAATATACCTCAATTACGATGTTTCTAACCTACTTTCCAACGAAAAATTTGGATTTTTGTTACATTATTTCAAATTTAATCCAATTCTCGACAAAGACATACCGTTAGATACGAAGCAGACAATATTACTACTGATGAACAACCAAATTGAGTTCTCAAAAGAGTCAATTTCCATTCCAACCTTAATTACTCCGAATTACATCGCTTTAGCGTACTACAGCCTCGAGAAACATGGAGACACAGGTTTTTACAGGGCAATCATCAACCAATCTGTTTACGGAAAGTTTTGGCTCGCATCAAAAGTTATTTCTGGCAGTTATTTGAATCCAAACTTACTTATTTCGATCAAAGAATTACAGACCAAACCGTCAGCTGCTTCAAACTTAATTGGTCACCCAGAAATTTTACCTTATTTAGATTTATCCAACAAATATCATCGAAGAATGAAGATTTTGCTATCAGAAGATAATGAGTTCCCTACAGAAATCAATGTAGAAGCAGAGTTGGCCCTATACAAGCTTAAAGAAAAACAAAATCAAATTATTCAATCAAATGCACCGAAATACTTAAAATTATTGGCAGAAACAGTAAGGAATGACACAATAAAAGACACAAAAGGTAATGGTTACTACGCATCTCTACTTTGCGCTGGATTTTTACCTCCAATTCCAGATACTCAGCCTCTACCGATATTTAAAAAACCAGAAGAGTTGATTGAAGATCAGCCATTCTATACAATCGTATCTAATATAATTTCGATCATTTCTTCGATCAAATTAACAGAAATTTCAGATGATGTTTCAATTTTGCTTTGCCATCGATATATTTCGAAAGAATCGAAGCAGAGTTTAGTAAGTTCGCTAGGTAATCAAGGAGAACAGCTTAGAAATAAGTACATGTGCACAATGATGGCGTTTTCCATGCTAGAAGCTGATTATCCAATATCCGCTGCGTACAAGATCAAGACTATTAGCGATGTTCCCACTGACGTGATCATAACTATCGTAAAATTCCTTGAAAACGACTTATCCAGTTTATGTGAGTTTTTCGGTAACACTCCTGAAGCACAGAACATGTTCAACAGGCTTTCTGAAGACTCCAGGAGGTCAGTTCTTGTATCGCTAATAAGAAGTGAGAACAACGATCCCATACAATCTTTATCATTAGACTTAGAAGACCCAAAGACAATCCAAATGATCCTAGAATTGTCAGGAAAAGAGTCTGTATCACATCCTACCGCTGTATCTCAGATCATGGAGCGAATCTTACCTTCATGCAATGATATAAGTTACTTTTTCGACCAAATTCCTGAAAATATCCATGAAACAACGACAGAATTAATTTCTCTGCTCAGTCTTGTCCTCGATAACGTCAAACACTCTGACTTTGTCGATGCAAAACTCCAAGAAAAGCCAGAAATAGATTTCATCTGGAAAGAAGATATCAATAAAATCGAAAAAGTGACAAAAGATATTTGGTCGGAAGAATTTAATGGAGAATGTCATTTTTCAAGCAATAACAAATGGCCAGCATTCATTTGTTACACTTGTCCCGAAAATCCGATCATTTGTCTCGAATGCGCAACTAAATGCCACAAAAACCATGATTTAGTTTGCATCGGATACAATAACAACGCTGTCTGCCACTGTGACAAGTACTGTACACTCACAAATTCCGTGAAAAGCCAGAATTCATCTCGGAAAAGACAGACCAAACAAAACGATCAAGAAAACAAAATTTTGTCAGTAAATCCAAATTCACTGGCAAAATTTGTCATAAAACTGTCAAATTGTAAATCAAGTAAAGTGTCAGATAAAACTGTCAAATTACATTCTGACATAAAGACATGTGACCTGAAATCAAAGACGATAAATCCAAATTATCCACCATTAATTTTTTCCGAAATTCCACAGAAAACATTACAAACAGGAGATGGAACAAGACTTAGATCATCATTAGAAAATGTTAATGAATCATTTACATTAACACACAGACGCAGTGAAGTTTCTCCTGCCATATTATGCTGCCAAGTCTTAGACGGAAGATTTGTTTTAGTCGGAATCGGTTGTAAATTAACGGTTTTGACAAATGACCTCACTTCTCAACTATTTTCAGTTTCTCTGCCTAAAGTCATTTTGTCAATAAAACCATCGGTCCAAGAACCAAATCTTATCGTCGTCACTTCACTTCACAACTGTTATTTATATGAAATATCAGACAACGGACAAATAACACTTAGAAATGAAGTAGAACTAAGATTGAATAATATTGATTCGTCACTTTTTATTAATAACGTACAATGGATTCCTGACTCGAAATATTTAATGATAACAACAAATTGTTTTGTCACTTTTTATGATCCAAGCAGCAAAAAGTTTTTCGGACATGTTACAACGAAACAAAGAGTTTTCTATACTTCATCTACCATTATTTGTCATAATAAGAAATATTATTGTTTGGTCAGTTCATCTGATGGCAAAATTGGAATTTACGATTTGTCTAATTTAGAAAATAGTGAATTTGATCGTTACTCGAATTTTAAATTAGATGGACAATTAATAACATTGTCTTCCTGTTTAGAAAATAATCTTTGTTTCATTTCTCAAGGTGTTTTATTACATATCATTAGACCTTCTGAATTATTTTCAGAAAAACCGTCATTTTTAACGGTTATGACAGAATTTCCATCGAATTTGTATTTAGTTGATGTTTTTAATGGTGTTTTTGTATTTGGAAACACTAATACAAATGCATTGTTTACTTTAGAATTTACTGATTCAGGATTAGAATTCGAATGTCTTCAAAACGGAACAATTCCAATTGGATATTGTTCTATGTTGAATAACTCAATGATTTTGTTGTCTGCTTTTGTATTGAATAATTCTTTTGTTTGTTTGACGAATCACGGCCAGTTTGTTGAACTAAAAATGAACACAACAGCAGAAACAGTTGCAGATAAATTAATAAATGATGATGACTTCATTTATGAAGAAGAAAAGAATGTTGAACCTTTCTTCTGGGCAAGGACATTATCAACAGATTTATCTAAAATAGAAGTTAAAGATTATGATGGAAATAATATTAATGATGTTTTGCAGAGAAAAAGATATATTTTCAGTTCTAATTCGGCAAGGAAATCAGCGTTAGTTACATTAAATGACAGCGAAAACGTAATTGTTGGATTCAGAGTTGGCTGTGAAAGTCAAAGTCAAAGCCATAGACCTCCATGGATTTCTGTTTTGGGAAGGAAAGTTAATGTTAACAGCCAAAGATCTTTCATGTTCGCTTTGAAACCGAATGAAATAGAACCGAGAAAAACATATGAAATCAGATTCGGATCGAAAGAATATTATGACACAAATTTCGACTTTTTGGATGTTTTTGTTTGCCAGTACAAAATTATCAAAGAAATCTGTGAAAATTCAAGAAAAGTTGTGTCTTTCGATAACTCAAATAATTTGTCTGACTTCAAGGATTCCAATACAGGAGATCCTTCTTTGTATCCTATTTTCAGTCGATTGGAAAAGTGTTTTGTTTCCTGTGCAAAGAATGAAAAACTTTCTGAAGAAATTTTCACAAGAATCGTGCAATTGATTTATGAAAACGATTCATTGTCAAGCATTTCGAGAAAGATTGCTTCTCTATGCAGTTTCGACAACAAAAACGAGATTTGGTCTAAAATTGCATCAAATTGTGTTGAAAAACTCTCCAAAACTACAGCAAAAGATTTTTGGAGAGATTTCAATTTGATGAACGACGAAGACAAAACTAAAGTGTCAAATGACGTCTGGAAAGGAACAGAAATCGAACAAGATATTTTCGATCCAAATATGATTGTTTCTGCTTTTATTTCTACTAATTAAATGTTTATTTATTTTATTTGTTCAGCCTGGCTTTCGTCCAAATAAGCATTGCTGCTTTAAGTTATTGTGGAACAAAGAACTATTAATTACACTACAATATATTCAAATAGGGATTCTGAAGAAGAAGGAAATTACTATTTTTGATATTAATTATTCATGATGGTAATTCTTTTCAATTTTTATGGGATAACCCCTTAGTTTAAAAATGTACGTTATTTACCCCCTGTATCTGCATCTAGAGATATTTTTTAGATTTTGAAACAGTTAAAAGATAGAGTACGATCAAAGTATGCTATTTTATCGTTTATTCATAAAAATATCAATTCTATCATAGAGAAAAAGCTAATTTAAGTTTAAAAATTTGAATAGTTGTAAACTAATATAGTGAGCCATTAAAAATATTACGAAGACCGCATTCTCTTGAATTTTGACGTCTAATTTGGAAACAAATAACATTAAACATAAGTTGCAAATCAAAAAGAATTTGATTCTTATTTATCAATAAAAAATTATAGATTTTCATTTGAGTGACAAGTCTATAAGCAAGCATATCATGTGATTTTAAGTCCGAATGAGATGAATAAAGTTTATTCATAAAGACATAAACTTACTGAATTCCTTTATGCAAATATATCAAATTTGAAATAATATCGTCATTTGTTTGGAAAAGCATATATAATGAAATCTGATTCTTAATGTAATATAATAACCAAGTAATTGGCTTTTTGTGAGTTTGGGTGATAATTATCATTTGAAAAATTGAATTTTTTGCTATTAGGTCAGCACAAAGCGCCAACCAAATAGCGAAGAATTCTGATATATGTCTATTTAAAATATGATTAAAATTTCTGAACGATAACTATCAAAAATAAGTCATAAAAAATATAAAAATAAAAATATAACGTAGGTGGAAAATAAGCCATATTCATCCGGCCAATAATCCTCTCAATTAGAGTATTCAAAAATGGCAGATGCCAGCCAATTTTTTGTATGGTAATGATAAATAATCATTAATATAGGTTCAGGATAGTATGTTATATCATATTTAATCATTATTAAGCAACTTCTATGATATTTTTTATAAAAAAAGTTTTATGAAGTTAATATTAAATAAACTATTTATTTTCCCTTTTCTTTACAATTTTTATACATGAATTAGTAATAAAACAATTATATAATATGATGAAACAGCTCGAGATCATCTGACTTGGAGGTACTGAATATTAGTTTCTTATCGTAAAGCCGTATCTGCGTTGAGTTTTGAATTTTTTGCTAATAATTCAAAAGAAATGCAATCTGAGTGAACTTTATAGGCTATTTAATTAAATCTTTTGGAGATTGATTTAGACTATGTAGGTACTCAGTAACTAATAGACGAAGAATGGAAGAAAACTGCAAGAGCGATTTCGAGGAAATTTTATTAAAATTAACATTCGATTCTTTGACCTGCAAATAAACATATTTGTACTGTTAATCGGTTTTACAGAATAGATCTTGCGTTGTTGTATGTTTTGACAAAGTATCTAGAATTTTTCCTAAGATACTCATTTTGCGAGATAAAATGATATACTATCTACCAGATATTTGTGTATTGCTTCCTATATGTGGCTAGTAACTACAGAAATTGTAGTTTCAGGAAATTTGAATACATTTGGAATTCTAAGAAAGACATTGTAATATTGAGCGTCTCTTATTTCAATATACCATATTAATGAAAATATAAATTCATGTAATCTGTCCTTAAATATGCTATCTAAACTTGTGATAGAAACTCAATTTCACCATAAAATATGAGAAAATTCCAAACTGTGAAATAAAACGAACATATTCGCATATCAGATAACAACCATCTATATTAGGTTTCTCAATTCTTCATTTAAAATTCCAAAAAAAATTCAAAAATTTGAAAATGGAGAGAAGAAATACGAATTTTCCATGAAAATTCGCAAAATGAAAAATTTTTGGAATTACAAACATTAATTATTTTTGATGCTTGTTCCAAAATTTGTCTTTTTCCCCATATCTGATATGAATATTTTCGATTATTATTATAATTTATTTTTAATGACATATTTCATGATATTCATATAATGGTTTGTTTTAAGAAATGAATGAGAATATATTTATTTAAAAAAAGAGAAAAGGTATTAGTATAGATTTTTATTTGAGCGTATTTAAAAGGTTCTATTTCAAAAACTTTATGTAGTTTGCTTTTGTAAGCAACGTAAAACAACATCTTCAAGTTATTTGTTGCAATTCGGGGATTAATCGAGAATTTTTGCTGTATATTAGTTATAAATTTGTTTTAGTAGATAAATTCATCATGTTCCCGTTTGAGACTCATTTTGTTTTTGCTTTATTGATGAAATTTCAATTTGTTGAGTGAATATCGACAAATTTGTTAAATCTTGTTTTAAGCGCAGCAGCAACATTTAGAGTCTATTAATTATATCTAGACTTTCAGTATTTTGCATTATTTTTATGGTTGAGGTTAGAACAATCGCCTAACTAAGTAACGCATGTATGTAAAATGACTTTTTCGCGAAAACGGTCTTGCAGATTTTTATGAGAGTAAGATATCAATATATACAACAATTGAGGATTAATTTTATTGCAGTGGCTTACGATTTTCATCGTTCAAAGTATCGGGGCAGATTATTAAATTTTAAGCTATACAATTTCCATTGTAGAGCTTTATATTTTGAAAGAATAGAACGATTGGATATATTCTTATTAAGTATAAATGACATCGATTTTAAATTGCATATATGTCAACACTGTTTCTGAAATTAATGTAAATATAAAGTAATAAATTACTATGCATGAAGAAAACTTCAATTTCTCTCCACAATTAAGAGAAGTTTGGAGTTTTATTACTGAGAAAAATCCGCTTGAAGTTGTTCATGAGAATTTTTTTTCTTGCGAAATAACGTATTTTTTGTTGACCTACCTTTCCCTCAACTAGAAAAATAAATACTATATGCTATAACAAATCTATACCCAGCATAAAAAGTTTTACTCCATTACTATCAATCTTCCTGGCAAAGGCAAATGACGTCAAAAAATGCCATTTGATACGATGTTTTTCTTTTTTGTTTTTGTATATATAAATGACCATGATTGGGGAAATTATTTTGAACAAGATGATGACAAATATAAAAGCTCTTGTAACAACATAAATAATGATAATGACGCCTGCAGAATTGACAATAATTTTCCAAATCCCAAAATTTATCTTTATCAGTGCATATTTATGCACATCAGCGATAGAGCAATATCTATTGAAAAACGCGCCATCTTAATGATATGCGAATGCAAATTTGAAAATGTAACAAAAACAACAGACACTGGTGGAACCATTCAATATGCTTTTTTGAGGAATAATGATTTAGATTCATCTATTGTTCTTTTAAGAGTGTGTGCTTCAAATGCTATAACAACTGACACCAAATTTTCAAATTACGGAACAGGTTCATTTGGAGTTTTTTATAACGATGCAACAGATGGAAAAAATATTTTAGAACAATGTAGTATTTTTAATTATCAAAGTAAACGCATGAGAACAATAGAATTTGGAACCACTTCTGAAGTTTCTATATCTAATTTTAATTTAAGTTATTGCCGTGCTAAAGATACTGCAGCTATATATGCATTTCCACCAAGTAGTTTTAAACCAAAACTATTAATAAAATATACTACAATATATTCAAATGAGAATAATGAAAAAGAAAATAGCATTTTTGTAAGTAAATACACTACTAACATTTCTATTTGCAACATAATTAACAATAGTCAAAATCAAAACGCATACTATATTTTTAATTTCATTATTTCAGATGTTACAATTAGCGATTCGATCATTTTCAATAATTTACTTCCTCGAGGTGGAGTTATGTTTTATGATTCAGAACGTACTGATTACGAGCATACAATTATTAATGTCATTCATTGTTTAATTGATCAAACAAACCATACACGGCTTACTTTAAATACAGATAAAATATCTACAAATTCATTTAGCAATTTTTATAACTATGATACAAAAGCATGCTTATTAATTCCTATAGATGAAAATGAAGTAAGGGAAGAAGAAAAAATTCGTCAAATGTGTACATGTGATTTTGACTGGAGAGCATATAAACGATCTGGTAACAGAATTTAACGAAAAAATCAAAAATATATCTCATATTAAGATTGGCGATTGGAATGTTATTTCAAGTTTCGATTTCCAAAAAAATATTCAATATTGGTTTTAAAATTAAATTCAGATGACAAAATAACATATAATTACATAATCAAAAATGCCAAAAAATAAAAATCTGGAATTTTTGATGTCAAAAACACTATTTTTATACTTAATAAATGTAAAAAGAATTATCTTAATCTCTGTAAGTACTACAAAGAGAACACAGAATGTATTTTTAAAATATATAGTAAACTCATATTTTATCATGGTACCCGTTGAGAGCTTTTTTAATTAAGGTACTATTTCGATAGAATTTGAACGGTATTCCTTCAATTTTGAGAAGAACCCTTTCATTTTTTGAATTGGGTACCTTAAATGAAAAAAGAACTTACATTCAATCTTAAAATTGAAAAATTCTAATATCTCACCACATGCAGCATTATTCACTCATTATTACTCAGAAGTTTTTTATTTAATTATAGGACATATCCTTATTTCATTCGCTGAAATAAGTGTTATCATTCCCTAAATAAGGGTAGCTCCCCAAAAAAATTCAATTCCCAGTAATCATTTTTGGAATTTTTTTGGAAGCCATTGATAACCAGTGAAAAAGCACAAAAAATAAACATTAAACAGGAAGAATGAGAGAGTCTTCCGATATAATAAGTTCATCAGCACTTACAACCATCTGATTTTAATTCAAATTTTTGATAGCTGATGTGAAACAGCATTGAAAATTAACATTAATAATCTGAATTGAAGGCCATTCCATATGACTTTTATTCTATACAATAACACTCATTTGTAGTTCATCTTTTTCACTCGGATCGTCTTCATTTTCTTTCCTCTTCTTCAAAATAATAAAAACAACAATTGCAATAACAGCAATAACTAAAATTACACCAATAACTACACCTGCAATCCATTTCTTCGATCCGGATTTTCCTTCTTCTGATTTGTCATCTGTTTGATTATAATCTTCTTCTTTTGGCTTCTCCATCTTTTCAAGTTCTACTTCTGGCCATGTTCTTAAAACATGATCTATTGGAGGATCAATAACTGTGAGAGTTAGTTGACTTAAATGCAAAAACTTGCATCCACCATATTTGTTTGATATAATGAAATGAGTTTCTGGTCTAAGGAATGGATTAATTAACTTGATTTCTCTGTATGTGTTCTCTTTGAAATCAGATGGTTTTCCATAAACTATCGTGTATTCGATTTCAGTATCATGGACGAAACCATAGAAGCCAGCCAAAGATTTATTATTATTGACATTCACACATTTCACATTCATTGAGGCTGTGTAATTACCATCTCTAAGGAAATACCATGGCCATTCATGTGCAGCATAATACAGAATCTGAGGCTCATTAGATTGTGTCAATTTCATACTCATTCCTGTTGGAGATTCGCTATCACTGACACTAGTTCTCCAATTTTGATTAACGTAATTCCACATGAAATCAGGCAAAACAATTTTATCTCCTTTTGCATATCCATATTTAATCTTTGGATCACGAGTGCTTTTAACATTATTTCCTTGGAAAACAGGTGCATCTGGGATTTGATCATAAGGAAGAATGACGAAGTTATGATTAATATTATAATCCTTTGGAGGAGCAATGTATTCACCAACAAAAGAAACTCTTACTTTTTGAGAAGTTCTGTTAACATGAATAACAAATGATTCGAAGTTACTTGGACAATTAATAACAATTCCTTTCTTTGTTACAGGATTACATATTGATATCTTTGTATTCTTGTTTATTGTTGCTCCAACATGATCGAATTCCATGTTATCTTGTAATTCATATGATTTCCAATTTCCATTTCTAACTTTGTAACTAATAAATCTTTCGAAACCTAAATCAAGAGTTATCATAAACAAAGGTCTCATTGTAGGACCAGAATCTTTTCTCTTGTAATTGATATCAACTTTCAAACCATCATTAGTTACAGTGTAAGTTCTTGTTGTTGTTGATTTGACTTCTTCAATCTTGTAAACTGTTATTGTATCAGTTTTAGATTGCAAAACATAGCCTAATGGAACTTGTGAATGAATGTATTTGCATTCCAATATATAGTTAAAGTAAATTCCTTCTTCAGAATTCAGGAATTCAGTATTTCCTTTCTTGAGAGATATAACTTTTCCATAGAAATAAGCTTTTTCTGCCGAAACAGCTGTTATTTGTCCACTCTTAATTGTTTGGGCAACATCACCTTCAACGATACTCTTTAGATCAGCCCTGATGTTGTTTTCCCATTCTCCTTTGAGAGAAAGTGCGCAAACACCCTTTGATGTCTCATTTAATATCTTTTGTCCAGGACATCTTTCAAGGATTGTTTTTGCTGCATAAACAGCTTTCACATTACATCCACTTGTTACTCTTCCATTTATAACTTGTGGCTTCTTTTCTCTTCGCAAGTTCCTTACGTATTGGACATAAAGAGATGATAATTGAGACATTTTCACATTATAAATATATCTTGGATCAATTTCAGCATCATTTTTACTTGCTTTTATTGCCATATCCCATAATCTTTTGATGTGATCAATAAATTCTTCAGGAATGAAATCAGGCATTTCCTTATGATATGTTCTCATTGAATTCTTTGGGAAATCATTGAGCATCAGATCTTTTGTTTCATTAAGAATCTGTTTTACATAAGGAGCAGCACTTGGACCATAATAACCATATAAAAAGTCATCTTCAAGATAATCACTGTTTTGATTTGGATCCCATAATAATTTCATTGTCATGTAACCTCTGTATTCTACCATATCATTGTGGTATCTCTTGAAAACAGGTTCATTGTTTGATAGATTAATATAAGCCCAGTTTGTGTCTTCTGAATACATTCCTCTGAATCCATATTTTGCATATGTTTTGATATTAGGAGCAATAACATGATAATTAGGATGGAAACTCATGATTTGATCAAAGTTAGTTGTGTAATCCCATACATAGAACCTTGAAGCAATTTCTGACCATTCCTTAATATCATTCATGTAATCTTTGTTCAACCATGTATAGTTTCCTTCGAATGGATGTCCGTAATCAATATCAATTGCTGCAAATCTGATGATTACGTTCTTATGAGCTTTGATATTCTTCGGAGCTTTACGAGTATAGTCCCATGCGAATGTTCTGATCAATACCTTTGGATGTGTCTTTTCAAGAGCTGTTGCAATTTTGTTTATGAACTCTAAATTCACTCCTGAAAATCTGTCACCGTATTTCTTCATTTTTTCTTTACAATCGTTACAGTGGCAGTAATCACCAGTATCAAATTGGCTTACATCAATAAGATAAACTTCGCTTTTGTCTAAATCTGCATTGATTTTCTTCATGAAAATTTGGAATGTTAAATCGTTTGATAAACATGGAGCATATTGCGATCTCCTTCCATCTGGTAGTAAAGCAAAGCGTTCTGGGTACTTGGAAACTGGATAATCATTGTCTTGCATGAGAGCTTTGAAAGATTCACCTCCATAGTACTCTGAAGTGGCGCCTCCGTAGTAGTAAGCAAGGCAATTAGCAGTATTCATTCGAGATCTTGCACAATAGTCATAGTTTAGTTCGAAATCTGTTGCAAATATTTCGCGATGAACAAAATGTACTTGTGATTGAATATTTACATTTTCTGGGACTTTAAATGTATCTGATGGTGGGTAAACATACATCCAACTTGAATAATATCTCACTCCGCCGAATTTTTCAAGTAATTCGAAAGCTCCAGCAACGATTCCTCTTCTATTTCCGAGTATAACAAGATTACCATCTACAAATTTTATTTCAAAGAAATCAGACTCTGAATCTACCTGTTTAACGGTGGTTTGTGGTGATAATTTAGTAGGTCCTACCAAAATTAAGTTTTTAGTATCAGTGGTTTCATCAGTAACTATAGTGAGCCTTTCTCCCGTGATTTTTTGAATGCCATCTCTTATTTCAATTGCGGCCTGCTTCCAATATACTCCTTTTTCGGTGGTTGGAGGATTTGCTGGGAACATTATCTTGTATCCTCCTTTGCCTTTTTCTGCTATTATGATATCATTTGAAAATACTCCACAAAAAAGGAAGAAACTTAACATTAATCTGAAGATCTTTTCATAGCAATGGTATTTTCTATTTTTTAGTGAAATATGCATTAATAAGATAAATTGGGATTATATCATTTCAGATCCAAAACTACTCTTCTCTCAAAAATTGATAGAACTTTGAATTGATTTCGCATACGAGTTACAATGATATTCAAATGAAATTGATAATCAACAATAACCTATAATGATGCGAAAATGAAATAGGTTGATATCTTCATTCTAGATGCAAAAAATGGAGAGATTTTAAATTTATTTTCGATAATTGCTCTCAGATCAAAAATGTCATCCGAAAATAATATAAAATTATGTATGAAGTCTAGTTCAATTAAATATTTGACTTCAATTTTCTTTAAAATGATCGATATTTCATTCAATCAATTTAAATGAATTTTGTTTTGAAGCAATAAGTTTTCTAAATATCTAGGCCAAACTAAATAATTCCATAATGAAAAGGCCTGCGGTGGCCAGCCTCCAGACACTAAATCAATGAACACAGCTTCATTTGATATATTGAACATCATTGATACTTACACATGTAAAGCAAAACCACAAATAGTGGTTACAGAAAAAATAGCTAAGTTTTTTCAAACAAACAAAATAATCCAAGGTATACTTTGCTTATGGCAATATAAAAGATGAAATTATAAATTTTTACGCCAACCAAATGACTATGTGAGTTTAATATATCTAGAACCATTTGATGAAAATTTCATGAGATTAAAATATTCAATTTTCATTAAAACATGGAAGAACTATGTTTTTATATACCTATCTAAGTAGGAAGTACTTTTAGTTTTCGTTGGAAGCATCTTATTCGATAAGACGGGATTTTTATTATTTTGAATGAGGAAATTATATTATGGCAAAAGTTTTAGATTATATTAAATATAGCATTCTTGGTGTCTAATTAGTCAAATATTGGCATAATTTTTTTTTTTGAAATAAATATTGCGACCAAATGGAATATCCGATTACAATGACAGAAATTCCTACTAATTTGTTGAAAATAGCAGAGTTTTGTAATAATGTATGGTGTTCATCATTAAAAGAAGATGATATTCAAAATATTTCCAATCTTATTACTGAAATTTCTCAAAATAAACATAAACCACCAATCCTACGAACAGTATTAGAGCGTGCATCAACTATAATAGAGCATCGAAAACCTAATTTCGACAAAATTATTCAAGAAAACCTTAATGATGTTAAACCATTAGAAATAGCACAGAAACCAAAAGAAAATTCCTCAGAACAAATACTCGAAAAGAAAAACAAAGCCATTGAAGCAATAACAGCAAAAGATTTTGAAAAACTAAAGGAAATTGCAGCAGATATCGACTTCCCATTCAAAGTAGAGGATGATGAAAGCAGTTCTATTTTAAAAATTGCTTCTGAAATCGATGACAATCAACAAATAATTTCCTTCATTTCAGATTTCGGAGACAAAGAAAGGGAAAACGCAATTTTATCAGGGAACATCGATGTAATTAAAAGAATCGAAAACGATGGCTACAGCTTTAAGCAATACTTACCTTTCAGTATCGAAGTAAACCAAAACAAAATTTCCGATTACATTTTACAAAAATATCCTCAAAAAATTGACGCGAAACAATGTTTAGAATCTTTTAATATACAAGCATTCTGCTATTGCGTAAACAACAATTTTGTCGACGATAGCATTTTTGAATTGATTTTTGACAGTCACTTTTTCGAATTATCGGATTTTATTTTAGAAAAAACCGACCTAAAAATACCAGTAAATCTATTGATAAAATACATCAAAACAGAAGAAAAAGAAATGATTGATTATATTTTAAACAAAAGAATTGATTTGAATTCTGCCAATGAAGAAAATGAAACTCCTTTAATTGCAGCAATAAAGAAAGATGATGTTGATCTTGTTAATTTATTAATAAGTAAAGGAAGTGATGTAAATCTTGTTGTTAATGATGTTTGTCCTTTTACTGCTTGCGTTGACATGAATTCCATGAAAATGATAAAATTACTTGAAAAGAAAGGTTTAAAAGTTAAAAATTCATTGAAGAAACCAATATTAATTTATGCAATTGAAAAGAATGCAGAAACAATTGTCAATTACTTCCTTTCCAAGAATATGTCTGTTTTTGTTTCAGATCAAAATGGGAGATTTCCTCTTTATTATGCACTCGAAAGTGGAAATATTAAAATTGTCAAAAGTCTATTGGATAAAAAAGCAAATCTGAATCAAGTTGATAAAAGTGGTACAAATGGTTTATTTGTTGCAAAGGATTTCGATATCTTCAGTTTATTAATTGAAAAAGGAGCAGATGTCAATGCATTGAACAAAGAAAAAATGCCTATTTTGATTCATTCAATTCAAAACTTGCAAGGCAAATTTTCAATTTTGCTAATCAACAAAAATGCTGATTTTGAGAAACAATTTCGTAATAAAACAGCAATTGTTCATGCAATTGAACAAAAACAAAGAGATGTTGTTAAACTATTACTTGAAAAAGAATGCAAATTACCCGAAAGAATATTCACAAATGCATTAGAATCATTAGATTATGAAATCATTAAACTTGTTGTTGAAAAAGGTGTAAAAACAGATTATCAACAAAAGAAACTACCTATTTTATATGGTATTGAATCACAATCTCTCGAATTATGCAAATTCTTAGTTGAAAGAGGATTTGAAATCAATGGAACATTCAGTAAGAAACCAGTTTCATTTTTTGCATTTAATTCAAAGAATCCAGAAATCACGAAATATTTGGTAAGCAAAGGTTTAGATTTGAATTCTTATTTCGAACCACAAAACATATATTTAATACATTATATCATCACAAAATGCAACAGTAAAATTGGTTTGGCATTAGAAAAATACATTGATCTTTCAGTAGTTGATGGAAATGGAAAATCTCCACTTATTTTGGCGATTGATAACAAATTGAGTAGAGAAATCATTGAGAAACTTATCAACAAAAATCATGACTTAGTTAATATGAATGATAAAGAGGGAAAATATCCACTTTATTACGCACTTAAATACATCAATTCTGATGTCATTAAACTTCTATTAGAAAATGGTGTAAATCCAAATACAACACAATATGATAATCAAGATATCATCTTCTATTTGATAAAGAAGAATGTATCAGTTGAATTAATCAAGTTATTCATTGATCATGGTCTTGAATTTCATCAAAGTGATAAAAATGGAAAGAAAGCATTACATCATGCAATCAAAATTAAGAACAAAGATATCATTGGATTTCTTGTTGACAATGGTTGTTTCAATGATTTCGGTGTGAAATATGAAGAGAAAATAGCAAGTCTTTTCCAGATTCCTGATTCACATGATGAAGGACTTTCAATCTTTTTCGATTATATTGTTCAAAACCATATTGAAACTTCATTTTTCAAGAATGACTTATTTAATTTTGCATTTAAATCGAAAAATCTTAGATTTCTAAAGATTTTAGCTGAAAAATTCGAAGCAATTGAAGCTTCACTCAAAAAGGAATTAATTAAATATGTTGAAACAACAACGAAATATGATGAAACATATATTGAATTATTAGAATTTATGTTAGAGCATATTGAAAACAAAGGTATTCGTGATGAATCTGGAAAACCAATTTTATTGATTGCTATTGAAAAATCAATTCCAATAAAGTTGTTTGAATTCTTGATAAAGAAAGGAGTTTCGATGGATGATCATTTTAATTTATATCCAATTATATTCCATGCAATCAAAATGAACAAAGAAGAATATTATAAATTAATGATTACAAACAAATGCAAATTGGAAAGAAACCAAAGTAATTATCTCAAGATAACTCCAGATAAAAATGAACCAATGAATGCTGCATATATTTATGCAATTGAAACAAAAGATACAGATCTGCTATCATTCCTTAAAAGTTACAATTTCAAGATTGATACTTATCAGATCATTTATGATTCAATAACATATGATTTTAGTGATGAAGTCAAATATTTGAATAAATTCAATTATCCGCCAGAAAACTTCATTGAATTGTTCAGATATGCAATATATATGAAAAATATTACAATCATTGATTACTTTCTAGATGTTTCGATTAACAAATACCACCTAAGTGTTTATTCATTCTTTGCTGAAGCAATGAGGATAAAAGACAAAGATCTTGTTTATAAACTGTACCAAGCGAGAAAGAAAATTTTCGAATCCAAACAGCAAAAAAGTCTAGAAAATAAAACGATTTTCCGCAATGAAGATGAAAAACCTTTCATGTTTTATGTTTATGAATTCATGACAAAGAAGTTTGCTACATTCTTTAAGAATTTAGGTATAGATTTCAATGCTGTTGATAAATTAGGTAGAAATTGTTTGATGTATGCAATTGATAAATCAGCTGATTCAGAAATCATTAAAAAACTTGTTAAATATGGAATAGATGTCAATATAAAGGCCAAAAATGGTAAAACACCTCTTATGTTTGCAATTTCCAACTCAATGAAAGCTGTGAAAGAACTTGCTGATGAAAATGATATTACAAGAAAAACAAATATTATCAATAAGAATTTCGAAATCATGAAAATTTTGATTGAAAATGGTGCAGATATCAATTACAAATACTTTCCAACACCAAAGAAACAAGTTGATGGAAAATATGGTAAAAAGCCTAATCAAAGGCAGAAAGAAACTGAAAAGAAAGAACAAGTAATTGAGAATTTTAGAACTCCAATTTTTTATGCATTGAGAATTGGAAGAGTTGATATTGTTTCTTATTTCATTGAAAAAGGAGCGAACTTAACAATTCAGTCCGGTTATGGAAATTTGTTGGTTTTAAACGCTCTCGAGTCAGCGAAGTACAAACTCAAAGAAGAATCAATTCTCGAGATTGTTAAACTATTGTTTGAAAAAGGAGCAATGGATAAAAAATCAAACAAGAGCATAACAAATCTTATGGGAAAATGCAGAGATTTAGGATTTAATGAAATTGAAGACTTTTTGGTTACAATGAGACCAAAAATGCGCAAAAAAACGAATAAGCAAAATTCCACAAATAATAAGTTTTTTGCACCACAGCGGAAACCCAATAAAACAACATATAATGATGAAAGAAAAAAGGAGCTTCCGCATAAATCTACAAAGCCTAAAAATGAAGAGATAATAATTATGGATGATGTCCCTTTTATATACGAATTTTCGGACGATGATGGAGATGAAATGTATGGTGATGAATGTTTTTGAGAATAATCTCCAAAATGCTAAAATATTAAGTTATGATAAGGGAATTTCCCATTTTGTATTTTTGAAGTAAATGTTTACAATCATTCACATTCATAAAAATATGATATAATTTACATCCACTACATGTTATATCTTAAGTAATATGACATTCAATAGTGCCATTCTTCATTTTTCTTTCATTTGGGCATGTTATATAGCGTAGTCATATGATATTATTTTCATGGAGACGAATTAACACAATTTAGACATAAATTATAATTTGCTCCTTGAAGTTGTTTAACAGCGCATTGTAACTTTCATTTTTGTTATATATACTTTTCCATTTTAATATGAAACTAATAGTGAAGATTTAGGTAGAATTTTTTGATTTGTCGATGAATGCAATTCGATATTCATCAATTCTTCATTTGAAATTTCTATAATTGTCAATTTTATTCAAAAGTAAATGATTCCAAAAAATTAGAACTGTTAACTTATTGGAATATTTTTTGAGCATGACATCATTTTAATTGAAATTGTTTTTCAATTGATTCTCCATCGTTCACAATTGAAATCAAAGTCCATTTTTTAAAAAATTCCAATAATTATAAAATTTTTGATGAAATATGGTAGGAGATGTTGTGTAAGATATATTTATGAAAAATTATCGAAAATAAATTGTGGAATGTTTATGGCACTTTTCGGAATATTCCACAATAAAGACCAATAATATTCCATTTATTCAAGAAATTCCACTATTTTCACTGAACACACTCATAGAATATATATCTTATAGTGTTATTTTTTACAAAACACACAAATTCTAATTAATCATTGTTTAAAAACTTAGCAGAAATAGAAAAACATCAAAATTAGGATCAAAATGTCGATAGTTCAGCATAATTCATCAACAAGTAGGCCTTTCCACAGATATAATGAAATTATTGATTCGGAATTGACAGGACAAATTCAACAATTGACAATTAAATACCAATTATTGTAGGAATTAATGATAAATAATCAAATCGATGTTTCACATTTCACACAATTTTCGAGTCATAAAGGAAATATTTTTTTGACAACCATCACAAAAAATTTCAATGGAACAAGAACCAATTGAATCTAATAGATTTTATTTGGTTCTGAAATTAAGGTCGTCATAAAATACAATTTACTGCTATCGACAGGCAAATCCCACAGTATCATCGTAATTTATATTTTTGAGCTGTTACGATTAATAGCGTCGATCGTTCAAATTTGAATCAATTTGAATATGGAAAATTTTATTTGAATTATTTTAATATATTTTCCACGGCCAAAATCATGAATGTTATTTACTTCGTTCGTAGAATACTGTAAAGATAGCTACAAATCAATCTAAAACAATTTAGGAAAAAAATTATAAGACACAATTTTAAATCTTAACGGAAAAGAAAGATAACATCGGGTGCTGCAATCATATTTTACCATTTGTTGATTATAAGAACAGTATTACAAGCAAATATGTTTCGAAATTTCTTCTTTTATAATTTTCTCATAAGAAGTAAAAATTAACGTATATTTGCAGTGCGTAGGCATGCATCGAGCCTACTCACAACAAAAACTTTTTATTCGTTCTCTGGCCGACAAAGAGCTAGAGAACCGCATCCACATTAACTTATGCTGAAGTTATCTGGATTTCCTTCCTCATTTGGGAGAAATTCAGAAAACTTCAGCATAAACAAATTACAGACATATTCTCTCGCTCTTTGTGGGACAAGTACCACAACTACATTACACTAGGGCAGAGTTCTTCCGAGGCCTCTCATCAAATGAGAGACTTCGGAAAAACTCTGCTCTATTCGAGTAAAAGTACATTCTCTGACACATAAATTGTCAGAGACTATAAGTACACTACATTAGGACAGAGTTCTTCCGAAGCCTCTCATCAAATGAGAGACTTCGGAAAAACTCTGTCCTATTCGATTAATTACAGAATCCTAGGCCTTTTGGGAACTAGGAAAGAGTAGTAAGAGTACTTTAAGGCAATGCTCATTACGAAGTCTCTCATCGAATGAGAGATTTCGTAATGAACATTGCCCATTTCGAGTGAACTTACATCCCTGACCCTCAAGGGTTCAGGGAGTAGTACTGTAGTCCATGAGAGCAATAACATATAAGTAATATCGCCAGAAGCACAACAATTACGCAGCCTAGCTACGCTATCTTAGCAGCTAGGCTGCATAGATATTGTGCTTCTGGCTTGCAGAAACCTCATGGAAGACCCATTGGAGATCTCCAGCCGAAATCACTTGCTGATGTGGATGGAGCAGCACTATGATTGGCCAGATCAAAGGCTGCGTAGCATCCCAGCAAGTAGATAGTCGGCGGCGACACCAGCTGTGGTCCACCATGAGATTATGACACTTTTGCGATTTGGCGCCAAACTTTTTTTTGGTATTGCCATTTTACAAATGTAAACTTTGTAAAGTTAAAATGTCATTTTTCCTAAAATGTACCGCACTCCCTTAAAAATATAAAAATTGGTTATCGTATTGGTATTAATTGATGGGTCAAAGTCCTCTTGCATTTTATTTATAAATGATTTTGACAATTGTTTGGCTAATTGTTGGATCAATTCAAAATTGAGAAAAAAATGATCTGTGTAAATACAATATCCTGCATATGTTTCGAATTTGATATTTTTGCAGAAGAAATACTAAATCACAAAGGTTTATTCATATTTATCGATGTCGTCGATTCATTCTCTGGAAACAATTGTTAATTTGTTGATCCAAGTTCAGAGAACTTAAATTTAATAAATAATGAAGTTTTTTATATCATAATTGTTGAAAACATGATAAATCATTCCAAAAAGATGTCATCTGATTCTCCAACTTACATCATTTATAGATATATGAAAAATAACATAAACTAATATATGATATTCTCAAAGAAGTTTACTTTGGCAAATTTATCTTTGATCCAAGCATTATTAGACGGTAATAGTTGGTCATTTATCTGCTAGTTATTAATAATTATTCGAAATAATGCTTTCCAAAATATGATTTTTTGAGCTTAGTAAAGTTCAAAGTCAAATACTCACTTCTTCTTTATCCTCATCCAGGTAGAGTAGCTGGCTGGCATTAAAAAACAAAAAAAAATTAAATGATGAAAAATTGATATTTATATATAAAATAATAAGAGTTATAGAGTATTATACTTTGTTCTTTGCAATGTGGCCAATGATGCTCACATCGTCTTCATCGCTTCCGAATTGGTCGGAAAGATCGTCAACGTATGGATTTCCGTCAATTGTTCCGATTAATTCAATCTTGTTGAGGGCGATGCATGGAGGTTCTCCTGGGCAGGCTTCATCTTGAATTAATCTGACGTATTTCGCTGTATGAGCCTCACTGAACTTGTAGACCTTCTCTTTTCCGATTTTCATATCGTAGTCCTTTTCAACCTTATGAACTGTCTTCCAGGTGATGTTGTCGTTCGAAATCTGCAAACTCCAGCTGTAAAGGCAGCAGAAGCAGCAGTAATAAGTTTCGTCAATGCAGCAGCATTCTGTAACATCTTTGTCACCACAGCATCCTGCTTTAAGGAAGTAGCCGTTGATATGCATTTTTGAGTTTTTAATACTGAAAGTAATCCATGGAAGATCCTTAGAATGGCGTCCACAATTGGAGCACCAATCATATTTCTTTTCAACTTGGTCGAATGCGTATTCTGGTTTAGTCAATTGAATTGTTCCGTTTATCCTTTGTGAAGCAGAGCCACTGGTTGAATACTCGACCATGCCATATTTATAGCTTTGGCGAAGGATTGAGTTTGATTCGGTTAAAATGTCTTCGCAGAGCAAAAACAAGTTCATCATGAAATGAAAATTTACGAAATCGAAAAACTGACAGTCACTTTTGTGGTAATCATACTCCAAACTTCAATTTCATATTTGGTATATTTCTTTCAACCTCTAGTCACCTTTGGAAACACGCATCGGAATGGCATACCAAATTACATTATTTGCTTGGATTAAAGCATAAGCTCGTTTTTTTTATTTTATCACTTCAAATTCTAATAAGTTGAGAGATTTGAGATGATTACATTGGTAAAATAAGATAATCGTTAATGTGTATATAAGCTTTATTTAATATGTAATCCTCCGAGAAATCAAACTAATGATGGGAAGGATTCAAATAAAGTCATTTCTTGAAAACTACAATTATAAAGAAAGTGTTTTAGAAAAACGCTAATTAAATGCATTAATGGTATTAAACTATATAATTATAATGAAATAAAAGTGTAACAGCTATACAATATGGCGTATATGGATTTATAATAACCTCTTCCTGTCTAATCATATAATAACTTTATACCATAGAATGTCAGAAAGTGGTAAGGATAATAATTATTGATTTGAAAAAAATTATACAAATAGTTTAATATAAATATATCAAAATAAAATAAATAATAACAAAAAATAATCTAAAAGATTCACTCCATTCCTTCATTCTTCATTTTGCGTTTCTTGCAATAAACAACTAAAATTGCGATGAGGATTCCAACCAATGCCAAGAACAAAACAATTGAAATCACCAACAAAACTATTTCATAAATTGACCATCCAGAGATAAATCTGTATCTCAGTTGGTCAGGAATATATTTGTTGCATTTCTCAACTTTCGCATCTGCACCGAAAATTTTTGGACTTCCGTAATTATCTTTAACATAAAAGTTCTGTGCCAAATCATTGTCCAATTCATTGCTTTGCACGTAATCTCCATCATAGCAGATTGTGTACATATAAGTATTTCCATAGAATGAATCTTTGTTTATAATTTTGACACTTTTTGGTATCAAAATCACTGGAGAACCATTTCCTGCATCGAAAACTTTGTTTCCATTTACGAAAACAGGTTCAATATAAGGATTGATTGAATAAGAACCTAATGTTGTAACAGTATCAGGTATCTCGTAAACCCTTGGTAATTCTCCAAATGTTGTTATCAATGTGGAACTTGATTTATCTATCAAAGCTTGTCCTTCAATTCTATACAAAGGATGTTCTTTAGATATGAATTTCAAATTGATATTTCTGCAATTTACAAATGCACATGGTGAAATATCAACTGTTGTATTCGGAATCATCAACGTTTTAATCGATGAGCCATAGAACAACCCAATATATTTGCCATCTTTGTCAAGACCAGGAAGTGAAGTGATTCCAGCCCCTAAAACCACTTTTTTCAATTTTTGACAATTTTTGAAACATAAATTTCCGATTTCTATTGTTGAATCCGGAACATCGAAGTTCTTTATAGCAGTCTCTTGGAAAGCTGACTGTCCAATAACAACAATTGTCTCAGATAACTCTATTTTACTCAATTCAGTACATCCCATGAAACAAAAATCAGAAATGTGACAAAATTGAGTAAAATTAATTTTGTTCAATTTCGAACAATTACAGAAACAACCTTCACCACACATTCTACATGATTCTGGGAAATCTATTGTTTTCAGTTCAGAGCAATTGGCGAAACAATATGATCCAATTGATAAAATATCTGCAGATATTTCAACTTCTTTCAGATTTTTGCAATTAGAAAACATATTTGATGATAAATTGATGTCAAAAATAAAATCATACATTGTATCAGGATTGAAATCAGGTGTAGAAGTTGTTTCATAAACAAACTTTTCTAATGATAAACAGCCATTAAATGAAAAATCAGAAAAAGCAACATAATTAGAAATTGTCACTTTTTGTAAATTTCTTGCATTAATAAACGCATTTGGTCTTATATTTATAACCGTTGAAGGTATTTGTAATTCTAAGTTTTCTGTTTGATCAAAGAAATAATAAAGTATAGTTTTTTGCGTGTTAAACAACATATTATTATAAGTTGTCAAATTTGTATTTTCTATTATTTCAATTGTTGACAATTTTGTACAATTTGTAAATCTAAACGCTTCAAAATAAGTCCATGTTGGTCCAAGAATTATTTTTTCGAGGTTCGTGCAATTTAAGAACGGCATACCATAGAAATAGGGCTGATCAAGCATTTTCACGACCTTTATTCCCGAGTTTCTAAATGAATCTTGATAAAGAGCTGCTTTTGGAGGAATTTCCATGAATTTAATCGGTCCAGCATTCAAAAATGAATATGGTCGGATAATTGTCAAATTTGCGAAATATACTTCTTCTAATGATGTACAATACGAGAAACAATTATTTATAATGAAAGTTACTTGAGAACAATTAACTCTCTTAAGACTGGTGCACGCCATGAACAGATACTGTTGCAAACTCGATACTTCTACATTGACTTCTTCAATGGACGAACAACCAAGGAATAAACCGTTGAAAATGTTGTAATTCGGAGGAATTTCGGTAATTTTTAGGGATTTACAGTATTGGAACGCGTTATTACCCAAAATTACCATGGCCCTGACCTTTGGCCACTCGGAAACAACAAGGCTGACGCAATATTCAAAACTTGATTTTTCAATTTGGACAACTTTTGAAAGATTTATGGACGTTAGGTTTCCGCACATGCTAAAACTATATTGTCTGACACGTGTAAGGTTTTCACAAATAAATTTTTTCAATGATATGCACCCGGCTGCAAAATAAATAGGAACAATGGGATTGCCGAGTTCTATGGACTCTAGGTTCATGCATTCTGACAATAAATAGTCGCCAAGGATGTAATTTGAAGGGATTGAGATAAATCTGATTCTTTGACAACGATAAAAGCAATATTTACCTAATAAACATGACGTAATATTCGGATTAAAGACAATTTTCGTAATACTCGATTGAGAAAAGGCATAATTACCTATTCTGACGATTTTATCTGTTAATTCTAATGTAGGAAGGCCTGTGCCTTGAAAAGCATATTGGCCTATAGTAGTAATAGATTGTAATTCAAAATATGTTAAGTTTATGCATGAATCAAAAGCTCCATCGTTCACAATTTGAACGTTAGCTCCAATTGTGACAGATTCGAGAGAGAAGCAGTAAGCTGCAAAGTATTTACCGATTTCAAACAACGAATCACCAATAACTATTGATCTCAGGGCAGAATTGGCAAAAATATAATCTGACACTGAAGAAAGTCTTAATAAATGTACTTTTTGCAATTTAAAGCATCTGTAGAATGCATTTGCATCGATAACTTCTACATTTTCGAGATTTATTTCGGTAATACTTGAATTCATGAAACAATTTTTGCCAATTGATACGACACCATCATGTATTTCGACTTTCTTAATGTTTGAAGACCCCAGAAATAGATTATCTGGTAAACTCGTAATAAATTTTGCATCGAAAATAAAAGTATAAACATTTTTGAAGTAGTTATAGGTACTTATTTTGGTTAAATCATAACCTTCCAATGCTAATGTATCAATATTTTTGATGGCAATGAGATAACTCATTTTGCTTTCGTCATCTAAGTCTTCTTGAAGGGTTATTGTAAGTTTTGTGCCATCAATGGAAGGTTCACGTGCTAAATATAGCGGCCTATTTAATAAAGCTGCAAATATGTAGCTTCTGAACAACACCGCGAAAACAATTAAATTTGGATTGAAAATTTATCAAAAAATTTGGATTATTAAATTATTCATATATTTATTCATTCATTGATTTTTCAATTTATTGCTTTTTTATAAAAGTGACAAATTACAAAAACAATTCGACCTCTCTGACTCAGCTTTATTACGAGACATTATCTAATATAAACTTAATTTCTTCCTCATTTTGCACCTTAGTGGCTTCCATATGATAAGTCTCTTTAACAAAATTTATAAAATTTAGATTTTTTAAACTGAGCAAACAAAATCGGATAATAAGTATTTTTCTTCTCTTAGCACATGAAGACAATCTTGTAGGCAAGGAAACTAGTCAAATTTTCGGCAATTATAATTATTTCATTTTTTTAAGAAAAAACAATAGCTCCTTGATATGAGTTATATTTTTGAAACATATCAGCAGAAACACAGCAATGAAGATCTTAAAAATATTTTTAATGTTACTTCTTCTTCAATATATGATTATCCTATTACATGTAATGATTTACGACTTGCTTCTCCTTATTGTTTAATATATAAAGATCCTGATTGTATGTGGCATTCTAAGCCAAATGAATATGGCTGGTTAATATTTGATTTCCCTGAAAAAATAACAATAACTGGATATAGAATATTTCCAACCGATTGCTGCAGATTAAAGAATCATTTACTTAAAGGAAGTAATAATGGAGTTGAATGGACAGAAATTGTCCATATTACATCAAATACTCCTGATGATAACCTTGGACATTGGGTTGTCTATAACACTATGGTATCTTCATATAAGATGTATAAAATAGAAGAAGAACAAAGTGAACTAGGAACTTCAGAAGAATCGTTATGCACCCCATACAGATATTTTGGTCTTCTCAAAGTCGATTTTTTTACAGTAAAATATTCTGAGCTGATTGGAAACAACATATTGAAAGAAATGAAATCCTGTTTGATTATATCTCGGCTTAAAATTTCTATTCTATTCATTTTGATTTCAAACATTTCTTTCACAAAATAAAAAAAAGTGTATTTACACCCATGTAATTTTAATTCAAATTTCTGACAGATTGGGTAATACGGACGTAAGTCCACCCTTAAGGAGCATGTTACACCTCTTTTTTTTACCATTTTGTGCCAGTATTCCCTTTTATGAAAGAGTGTCAGAAAATTGAAAAGCTATCATTATAAAATACATAATTTCACATTTAATTCTGAAAGCACTTGATGATGTGCAAATATTTCATACGAATTTTGGGCTGAATTTGGAGGGGAAAAAATTATTGAATTTGAGAAATCAGTATTGTATTTGTAATCTTAAGTAAAATTGTTACGATATTCTTTTAGAAAAGTTCTAAATAAAGTCATTATTAATTTACATAGAGTTCCATTTAAATGGAATAAAAAATGCAAAAGTATCATAAAATTGAAAAGAATACAAAAGTGTCATATTTAGAATATATGTTTTCAGAAAATACCCAAGCTTGTATCAAACAATGTAAGATTTTAGTATCTTTAATAATAGCCAATCATTTTTAAACAATTTCTCCTTTCATTTTGAGAATTTACACGGATTTTGAAATTTAATGAGTTATATTTTTGAAACATATCAACAAAACTATTCAAACCTTGAACTTAGAGATATTTTCAATGTTACATCATCTCCTTTGTATAATGGCCCCACTCCATCATGCGATGGGTACAAAATTCCTGGTTCTCCATATTGCCTGATTTATAATAATCCTGATTGTATGTGGCATTCAAAGTTAAATGAGTATGGTTGGCTGATTTTTGGAATGAATTCGAAATCAATGACGATAACAGGGTATAGAATTTATTCTACTTCTTCTATTTGTTGTACTTTGAAGAGACATTATTTGAAAGGAAGTAATGATGGAATAAATTGGGAAGAGATTGTTCATATTACTACTAATACTCCTGCTGACTATCTCCAAAAATGGGCGACATATAATGTGAGGGAATCTACATATCGAATGTTCAAGATCGAAGAAGAGCAGAATGATCTAGGAACAAGTTGTGATCCTGGTGAAAAATATTTTGGTTTGCAAAAAGTTGATTTTTATGTCACCAAAATATCTGATATTAACAAAATCAATGATAACAAGTGTTTGTTAAAATGTTCGTTTTCCTGCTCTCATATTAATATATTTTGTCTTATATTAATGATTTCATCCATTTCTTTTTCAGATTTCTAAGAGATAGAAAGAAGATAAAATTAAAAAAAAATCCAAAGCCATTTTGTTCGTTCGGTTTATAAATCTGGATAGATATTCAATAAATGAGATGAAACTAAACCTTGAAGTTCACTCTCGTATTTATTCTTATATGAATTTTTAATTTCACAACATTTTGATGTTGAAATTTTTATTGCAACTTCAATTTCTGAATTTTGTCACTTTTTAAAATGTTTTTGTTTTTCTTGAATTCAATTGCCGATTGCGAAAATGGAATATTCCAAAAAGTATTTAATGATAAAATAATTTTAATAGATGTCGGTGGTTCCTCAAAACAAGACATTAATGGCTCAATGCAAATGACAAAGCCTGAATATGCAATATATCCCTGGAACAAGCGATACGACTGGTGTTCCAATTGTGGCCGAAATTATGATGAGCATCCATATATCAGGTTCTCATTGAAAAATAAGAAGTTTAAATTCAATAGTTATTTTGTTCGTTGTGGCTGTTGTTATCATCACAAATGTTGTTGTGAAGATGAAAATATCGGCTGTTTCTACTGTTGCCTATATTCATGGTCATTGCGAATATCAGATGATAATAAAACGTGGACAGAAGTTCATCGAATGAAAGACGAAGAAATGCGTCGATGCAACGAGAAGACATACAAACTCGATAAAACGTACAGTGCTAAATATGTTGAAGTCATCCAGAACGAAGCATGTCCGGGTGATCCTCCATGCATTGCTCTTAACCGATTTGAACTTTATGGCGATGTCATTGATGACAACGGTGTTTCCGATGATTTTGTTTCATACCACGACGATGACGACGATGTCAGTATCATTGGCCATATCTCCAAAAACGGCAATGTCAAACTCGTATAAAAATTCTTACAAAATTTCACAAACAAATTCATATTTATTTAAAATTTTTGTTTTACCCTTACAATATAATAAAAAGTTTAAACTTATGTTTCTGGAAGTAACATAAACAAAGTTATGATGGTTTGAAATCGAAATAAATTATAGTTAATCACACAAGAATGTGGAATAGTAGGGAAAACTTTACCTCTGGCAGCCCATAATCGAATTCTATCAGTAATTACCTCGATTTGTAATTCTTCGTTGAATGATGCAGGATATCCCATTTCTACGTATCTATTACCTTCTACACAAATCATTGCAACAGCATATTGCCAATGGCTAATCCCTGGAAGGCCATCTAATAAGGATCTATTAAGATTTAATTGGCTTAATACGAGACCTCCCCAACCTTCCATTGGTAACTCGGTCACATATCTTTCAAAACCTAAGGCTTCCATTACATTAAGTTTCTCTTTTTCAACGGTTGGAGAATTTCGTTGACGCCAAGAGTTAATTTTATTAAGATTTGGATAATCAAGAATGAAATATCGATATTTGTCTTTCATTAGATATTTTGTTGAGTTTAGATCATATAATATGGAATATTTGCCGTTTTCGTTGATGTTAAGTGCATCTTTTTTACTACTAAAGCATTTGCTGGTAGATGAATAGTTATGTTCAAACACAAGTTCATACCAACTATGATTGTAGTATGTGTATGACTTACCATCATAATAGTATTCTCTAAATCTCATTCAAAATCATATGATGTAAATGTAAATTTAATAATAAATCTCATCTTAAAATGGCAATATCGTGGAGAAACAGCATCGAAGAAAGTATTCGAGATATTGTGACGCTTTATTTTGACATTTTCAAGCTCAGAAACAAATGTTTTGTTTGAAATTGTTTAAAGTCACTTTTTGACACAAAATGATTTTCTATTTGTTTACATCCGCAAATAGCGAAAATGGAATATTCCAAAAAGTATTTAAGGGTCCATTGTAAGGCCAAATAAGGCCTATCGTCATCCCAAAAATATTGCTCAAGATGGTGTTTTTTTTTTAAAAACTTAAAAAACACAAAAAAATTAACTTTACTCTTTTGAGATCCTTATCAGATGTGCAACAATTTGATGCAGTATCGCAATTCAAATCCGATTTTTTAATGTAGATGTACTCTAACATTCTTGAAAAAATGCAAAATGATATTAATTAAGCTTTTCATTTCTGTATCATACACGAAACAAAATCATTTATTATACTAAAATTTATCAAAGTTTGAATAATGAAAAAAATAATATCTAAATTTTTACATTGAGTCGGCTATTGATATGGTCAATATTAAATCGTTTAAAAATGGGCATTGGCCAGAATAATACCCACTAAAATATACTTTTTTTTAAATGTTATCAATTTGTTATGGTATATCTTTATGATAATGAATAAAATGCTTATCTTTCATAAGTAAATACATAATTTATGCTGAAACACAAAAAATAACACGAAAATTTTTTGCCAACATTTCAAAACTAAGGATAATGTTTTGAATATATAAACAATAATACTTTGTCTGGAGAATTAAATTTGTGCTATCCAATTGTCAATTCTTTGAATTTGTTATAAAATGCACGATATTCCGACATTAGCCTCTTTAAATATAAACTACATGCATCACAATATTAGTATGTAATGGCATTAAAGCGAATTTCCTAATTTCTTCTCAATTTAATTCCTAGAAAAACTTAGGAATTAATGATTGGAAATAGGTCAAAAAATTCCTAATATAAAATTCATACTTATAATCAAATCAAAATTCGAAAATATCTATTTTTCAAAACACGCATCCAGAAGCAAAAAAAATAGGAAAAAATCATGTTCTTATAAAACTCGCTGATTTTGCAATTTTTATGTGATTTGAAGTGATAGAATATATTATCATCTTATTAAAACATATACTTCATTGTTACATTCACAAAATATTAATCAGAACACTAGGAAAAGTGGATTTTCGAAAAAAGACGATAACGATTATTTGCAAATCGCCTCTCAATTTTGAGAGACTTTCAATTTTTACAGTGGACCCTTAATGATAAAATAGTTCTCATTGACGTTAGTGGTTCCTCAAAACAAGACATTAATGGCTCAATGCAAATGACGAAACCAGAATATGCTATATATCCATGGAACAAGCGATACGACTGGTGTTCCAATTGTGGCCGAAATTATGATGAGCATCCATATATCAGATTTTCTCTGAAAAACAAAAGATTCAATTTTAACAGTTATTTCGTTCGATGTGGTTGCTGTTATGCACTTTGTTGTTGCGAAGATGATGATTTGAGATGCTTCCATTGTTGCTTGTATTCGTGGTCTCTTATGATATCAGATGATAATAAAACGTGGACAGAAGTTCATCGAATGAAAGACGAAGATATGCGTCGATGCAACGAGAAGACATACAAACTTGACAAAACGTACAGTGCTAAATATGTTGAAGTCATCCAGAACGAAGCATGTCCGGGTGATCCTCCATGCATTGCTCTTAACCGATTTGAACTTTATGGCGATGTCATTGATGACAACGGTGTTTCCGATGATTTTGTTTCATACCACGACGATGACGACGATGTCAGTATCATTGGCCATATCTCCAAAAACGGCAATGTCAAACTCGTATAAAAATTCTTACAAAATTTCACAAGCAAACGACTTTTGAATTTAATTAGTCATTTTATATGATTTCATTTTTATTCTTTTTATTATTAATACATATGATTTTCTCTTTATTTTTATATTGTTTTAAACATCCTCATATACACGATCTTCATTAATATTTTGTATCTATTTATTTTGATTTGCGCGATATGGATACAAATTGAACAAAACAAGTTACTTATGAAGAACTTTGCATGTTCTTATTAGAGATTCATGATCCGGCTCAAACTAATAGTTAAGGACCAGACATCCATCTTCTATGCAGCAGTGATATCTTTTACATTGGCGAAAACCAGAAGGAAACTGTTCTTAATGTTAATCAAGTCAATACTTACGTTGCAGAAGCGATAAGATCTGGGGTGTCGAAGATTACCAACAGAACTATTATGATAAGAATTGTGAAGAAACATATTGCCATAGAAGTGTGAAGGAATTTTAATTCGGCAAAAATGGTTTAATATAACTTATATATGACAATCTACTTAATCTTTTTTTCTATAGAATTATGCCCACATATTTGAATTGAAGAATCTCCATAAGTAGAAAATTGCAGATTATGTATCTCATTAAGACCTCTTCTAATTTCAATAATCATATCTAACATCAATTTGAAAAGCATGATTGCTATAGTTAATAATAAACTCATCTCACTACATCCGAGGATGAAACATAATAATGAAATTATAAAATCTCATGAATGTATCGATGTTACTTTATTTGATTTGATTTATTAATAGAATTTTCTTTGAAAAAAAAAAAAAAAAAAAAAAAAAAAAGGTAGTGGGGCTTCCAGGCACTTCGTGCCCTCTAGCCCTGAAGATGTTTAGTATAAATGAAGTTTTTATTCGGAGGGCTTCCAGGCGCGTTGCGCCCTCTAGCCCCGAAGATGTTTAGTATAAATGAAGTTTTTATTCGGAGGGCTTCCAGGCGCGTTGCGCCCTCTAGCCCATAAAAAATTTCTGAGGACGAGCCAGCCGTTGACTTTTTTGTAGAGCACTCAAAATAGTATAACTTTGTCCGGACAAGTAAGGGTCTATCGTCGCTACAGGAAAAGTTACAGGCGTTCCAAGGAAGTACTTTGAGAAGCCTTTTCTCCATTATAGAATGAGATAGGACGGTTATTTTACAAAACTGACAACACTTTGACCGAGTAGTTTTTTGTGCTGAACAAAAAGTGTCATATAAACATCTGTCAAAAACCGCTTTTTAACTTCACTTAAAATGCCACGTAAGCTACGTAAGAATATACGTAAGAGGAAGGGAGCATTGAAACATCCAATAGTAAAACTGACACCACAACAACAGTTGCAACAACAAATGATGAATGACCCCACTATGTTGCAACAAATGTCAAGCAACCCTATGCTTTTAAACCGAGTTATTGGTGCACAGAGTGGAGGTTTAAGAGCGGCACTTTTAGCGAAAATGGCAGGCTATGGTGGAGCTGCAGACGGAACAGCTTATAACCCTCAAAGTCAAATGAATTTGAGTTCACTCAAAAATCAAATAACAGATGTCAAAAAGTCAAACATAGACATACAGAAACAAATAAGTGAAAACGAAAAAGAACTAGAATATGACAGACACACAAAGAAACTCAATGAGTTAAACGTAGAGAAAAAGAAGAAAGAAGAACAACTGAAAGAACTAAGTACAGAGGAATATGCGAAAAAAGTGTCAGAAAAAGCGCAGAAGTAGCAAAAATGGAACAAGATGTTATAAATTTGAAAAACCATACTACTCAATATAAAGTACTGAAAGATGAAGAGATAAAACAAAAAGCCCTGAAGACATATATGGATAGCGATGAGTATAAAAAAGAAGTTGAAGCAAATGTAAAGGCAGAAAAACTTTTACAGTTGCAAAACCAAACCGTACAGTATGAAAATTAGCACAAGAAAGTAAAAATAACGACGCAGCCATGCAAAAGGCAATGAAAAGCGCAGAATATATAAAAGCTAATAATGACTGGTTGATGCCCAAGCCAACGCCAAAGCAGCCCAACTTTATGGGTCAATAAGGACAAAAATACAAGCGGATGAAGACAGTTCAAATGAAGCTTTAATGAATGCTGACTTTAAGAACGCCTTCGAAGCTCTTCATAGTAAGGTGAAACTAGTGAACGACTTCTCATCTGGAAGAAACTGAAGTCTGAAGGTTTCGACAAAGAGTTAAGAGAAGTAGCACAAAATATGACGAAAATAACAGATGCAGCAACGAGACAGGCAGTTCAAGTGCCTATGACGCCGTTAGAGCAACTGTTGTGGAAAGTCAAGAAAAAGAGTTACAACAGACCAAAAACAGACCTAGTAATGCTTTCTTAAGACGAAAAGTCAGGTAGGACATTATGCTGCAGATGGAACTATGTGCCAGCTGGTGGAACTTATATACCAGCTGGTGGAACTTATATACTAGCTAGTGGAACTTATATACCACCAAACCCTCCAAGAGAAGCACCTGCACCAGGACTACCTAAAACATTTACATCGTCACATGGACACAGACACAGGCATGCACCAAAACAACAACAACAACCAACAGTTCAAAATCCAGCACCACAACCAACAGTTCAAAACACTGCACCACAACCAACAGTTCAAAACACTGCACCACAACCAACAGTTCAAAACACTGCACAGCAACAACCACAAACAGAGCAAGGACATAAAAGAAGTAGAGAAAAAGGAAACCAAGAATTCTTAAAAATGCTTAAGGAAGATTATGGTTACCCAGATACTCTTGACTTTAGTGACAGATATAAAGAAGCTATTAAAAAGTTCAAGGAAGGAAATACTGACCCGAACCTATTTAGCTTTATGGTTCAGCACCAAATGGGATATAATTTCAAACCTGGAAAATACAAGCTCGCTAAGGGATATGATTTAATAGCATATCATCCAAATGACATGGATGAATTTACTCCGAGATATTTGATGTCAGAGCTAAATGACAATTCAACTTTCGTCATGAAACGCGTAAAAAATAGAGACGGAACGAAAGAACAAAAGCTTATGAATGCGGATGACGTAGATAGGGAAATTGTTGAAAACGGTCTCGGAATATATGAAATGCCAGCAGATGAGGTACAAGAAACTCCACAGGAAGAGTTCAGATACAACCAGACATGGAAGAAATAGTTCAGCAACAACAGCTAGAAGAGCCTGAAGGAAACGAACAAGTCCTTCCTTTGGAAACTAATTCACAGAACTAGATGAAGATTTGGAACAGCCGAAAAATCTTGACCCTCAACAAGAGTATGCGGAGAATATGGAATATTTCCAAGAGTCTAAGAAAGATTCGGCTGACATAGTAGAAGAATATCGAAAATGTTTGCCGACATACAAAAGACTCCAACACCAGATGAAAATATTCAGCATAGAATGAAAGTACTGAAAGAAAATGTACACAAATACAACAACCCTTTTTACTTACGAGCATTTAACGTTCAATCTTCGGATGAACTCGGTGAAAATAAAAGGTTAAATTTCAAGAAAACATATAGAAATGAAACATTGTTTAAAGTTCATTCAGAACCTAACCAAGATGGAAACAAACCTACTTTTGTTTCTGCAGACGATGGAACTACAATGAGATGGGGTCATAAAGCTAATCCAGATAGGTGGTTCATAAACTTACAACCACAATTCCAAGAAGTTGTAGACGCAATGGAATTGAATGGTGAACGAGATATAGCTGGTATTTTAAGCGCGGCTTTAATGCCATTGAAAGTATGAAACATGCAGATATTTTGGACCAGTATGAAATGAACATGGCTGATGGAAATATAACACCTGACGTTCTAGAACATTTTATCTCAAAGAACTACACAGAACCATAGAGATGGTATATTTGGTGAAGAGTTTAGAAAGAAAGTTAGGGAGGGAGAAGGAAGAGAACCTATTGTACATGACCTTGCAAATGAAAGTTTACAAAATGTCATAAAAACTTACTTTGCAGACAATGAACCGAGAAGGGATGAATATTTAAGAAAACTCAAATGGACAGTACAAATGAAATGTTAGTATTGAAAAACATGTTCCTTGACAAAATAAAACCAACTACAGAAATAAACGACGCAAGACTGAAAGATTGGGTAAAAGCTTTCCCATTCACAAAAGATATAGTTGGTAACATGGAAAGAAACCAGAATGGCTACAAAAACATATATTTGGAAACGAGCATATTCCATATGGACAAGCTCTGTTTGAAGAGCTTGAACCAGAAACTCAGGAAAGAGTCATGCAAACAATACGCAAAGACTCAAATACAAACTATGACAAACTCTTTCTAGGATATAGGTTACCTGAGATGGGCGACCAGAGCCAAAAGGCAAAAAGGACATGGGAAATTTGCAACATACTAGATGAACATGAGGCAAAGATGCAACAACTTGAAGCAGAGGGCAATGAAGGAAAAAGAAGAGTTAAAAACTCAGTCAGGAAGAAAGTAAAGCTTGGTCCACGTGGGTTCTATTATGACATATAAATCCAACTATTCTATATTTTTACTCATTGAATTGTACGCCGCTCAGAATATAACGCCAACAGTTTTGGATGCCATGAATGGAAATGTTTCCGAATGGTATAACGATGCGACAATGCCATTAGAAGGTCAGAAATAGTTCCTGGAACTTACGAATATACAACTGCTGTTTCTTATGGAAACGTAGGTGAGTTTGGAGAAGGTTCTTCAACAACAGTAGATATTGCTTGCGACAGGTTTCATATAATTTCTATTGACAACTCTTTCTTATACGTGGAACAAGACATTGAAATAAAACCTTCTGCCAAGTTGTCTGACAAGAAAGGTTGCAATGGAATTTTCTATGTCGGATACCAATATGCTCCAGAAGTTTTCATGGGATATAAGATATATTCTAACTCTGACTTAGTTCAAACAGTAACATGGGCAAACTATGAATGGTTCGCTTTGAGAAACTCAGTACAACCACAAGCTAGAGAACAAACAGACCAGTACGCAACCATTGAGAAAATAAGAAGACTTGACCTAACGTTCCAGGAGTTTATGTTACCTTTCTGGTTCAGATGGAAATGCTGTCACTAAAGTAAAACTGAAACTTAGGTTCTTTGTCATCTTTCTCATCTTCAGGTTTTTAAGATACTTGCCAAACTGGGCAGGAAAAATTTCTATTGAACTTACTCCAAGCAAAAATAACTTAGTCATTGCACCAACGCAAGACCCATTCACTCTTACAGACGTAAAGGGAGCAAATCAAACGTCATTCGCCGAATTTTGCAAAGACAAAGTTGACTTAGACTTTGGTTTCTCAAACCTCAACACTGAAGTAAGGTATTATTTCAATGCTGCTGGAACTGCTTGGGACCCAGTTAGGTTTACATGCGAACAGTTTATGCAAGAGAATAGAAAGCAGACTTGCAGTCTATATGTTGGACCCAGATATTTCAAATGCTTTAGCTGCCAAATATATTGCAGTTCCACTTATGTTCCCTATACACAATATCTGTCAAAGACTTTGCAGGTGAAGTTGGAAACCAAAATCCAGGAACCGCAGGTGCAAGAACAGATATTGCTTTAACAACTGCAATGAAACACGCAGATACTATGTTTGTACTGTTCAGACGAACTATAAATGACTATTCTTGTTTCTACAACCCTGGTATTAAATATCATATAAACATAGATGGCAAATATTATCCAAGAGAAGAATATTCTACAGTTGAGGATATGAGGTCATACAACTTGACATTAGATGCTATGAACTTTAACAACAACTTCACAACAACCATTAACCCTGAAATGCAAAGTTCTATTATGCCATATGTGAAAGTATGGACTCATACAGGAAGTCAAAAAACTCAATATACAAATGGAGACCGTTCAAACTTTTGGCTTGGCATTCCATTTGCTGACTCAGAAGACTTTATGGGTGGTATTTCAACTGTTGGTACTGTACAAATACAATATACTGGTGACAGAGACGGTCCATATGAACTGAGAGCAAAGAAGTTTACAAAACCAATAGCACTTTTCACGGAAGATGCTCTTTTGAAGATTCGTTCGATGAAACCTGCTGGGGCTCCTCAGATTGGCATAACGACAGCTTCCATCGAGCAGATTTTGGCAGCAGGTCAGTAAGTTGTTCTTGAACTGACTTCTCTCCGTCAAATATTGACAGTACGCCAGTTTTGACATAGTATTGTATTATAAACTTTCCTTTAGTAATATCGGTCAGTTTTGTTGTTATATTTTTGTCAACGTCAAGAACTTTCACCATTTCAGTTATACCAACTCTCTCTGCTTTATGAAAATATTTTGGTTCAGCAAAGACTGCTATTCTATAACATTTTCCATTGTTTGTATAAAGAACTATTCTGTCAATGTATTTGTATTGTTTGTGAGTATAAACTTTGTTCTGCTTCAATTCAATAAGATATCCGAATACGTCCATCTTTTTATTCGAAGTAAAATGTCATTTCCGAAAAATAGAAGCGTAAGTGTTTCAAAAGGTTTAATGGCGGTGGCAGATGTGAAGTTAAATTCACCAACTCAAACAAACAGTCAAAGTGTTGTTGTCAATGTCAAAGAAAGAGATGTTGAAGTGGGGAAACCATACGAAGACGAAGATGGTATAACAATAGTTCCTGTAAAAGAACAACCAACATATCCTGAAGTTAGAGAGACTTAAGTTCTGTTGCAGATATTCGAAATGACTACATGCAACTTAAAGACAAACTTAAAACTCAGGAGAAGATTTGTCAAGCTTTAGGTATAATGTTAACTTGGTCGAACACAACCCTGTAAAAGTGAACTCATATGTCATCGCACCTCATGAAGTTTTGAAAGAACTATTGAAACTTTTGACAGAGGCAGACGATATAAACATCAAAGAAATAGAAAACCAAAAAGAGAGAGAGAGAGTATACACGAGAACCACGGATCGGTGGCTTCACTCTCTCCAATCTGAGACCGTTCAGCTCTCACAGAGAAGAGTTGACTCCAACGTAGAGTGCAGATGGCTGCAGAGTGTAAGATCCATCGGAGACATAGCTGGTATTTTAAGCGCGGCTTTACCGAGCACTGATTGAAAAGATATTAAAATATGCAGATATACTTGTTGGTATTGGGTCAAGGTAAAGTATTGAACAAAATTAATGTGTGAACGTATGCCATTGTCGAACGAAAATACAGACAAACAGTTATATATGAGTTTGAGACCAAAGAATGGTGTAACTCGACCTGTCCGATTCAAAGACTCAGGAGCGCCATGAAATTAAACGGAAATTAGCTAGGAAGGAATATAAAAAATGGACTGGTTGCCACCACCTCCACCTCCACCACCTTTACCTGTTCCTCAAGTAAATAAGCCTTTCCCGTTCCCAAGAATTCCACATTTTAATTCAAATTCGAATAAAAAACGTTTTATTTCATGCAATGTTTTATTTCTGTGCCGTCTTCAAGTATGCCCCAGTACTTACGCTTGGAGAGGACATGAACTTCGGTGAAAATTTTGTCCAATTTGAATTGACCCATCTTCTCACCGACTAAACCCATTTCAATGAGTTTGTTGTACCCTTCTTCGTTCGTCATGAGTGCGTCAATGTTCTCATAGTAAACCTTCCACTTTGGATTTGACTTCCGGAGAAGAATTTGTTGTAGTTGTCAAGGACTGCCTTTGCGAACTGAGGGTATGACCAATGTTCGACAATAGGTTTTAATGGTGGTTACTAAGCCATTTTGACCTTGAGTGAATTCGTACTTCAAAACAAAAGGAGAAAACCTTCAACAAGTTGTGTCGACCTTCTCATAATGTTTACTCTTCATCTCTTGAGGTTTCTTAATGGAATATCCCATGTCGAATTCATAAGCAATTTGAGTGTCATTGCAAGTTTGGGGTTTGAAGCTTTCTAATATCATACAGTTGTTGTATGACTTTTCCAACTGTATAGTTCTCTTCCTGGGAACTCACCATCTTCCGTTTGGAATTCCAGTCGGAATATATTGGACAAACCTCATGTACGCAAGGCGTTAAGGTCGACATAGTATATCTTTTACATCTGAGTCGAACTTGTCGCAACCAATTGGTCCAGTTTGTGGAAATTCAAGTGAGTCTCTTATCTTCTGAGAAACTTCTTCCCTGTTATCTCATAAACATCGTCGAAGCAACCTGTTTCATATAAAACCTTCTGACCTAACTCAGATGCTCTCCAATACAATTTGACGTCAATTGGATGTCTCAATGGAAGTTTGTTTATAGCATCTTGAAGTTCTTGCAACCTCATTGGAAGTTCTTCTGGTTCAGGTTGGTATCCGAACAATCCAACTCCTTGTGGAATTGTGTACTTCTTTTGTACTAGAACTTTGTCTGGAACAACTTTTGGTCTTGCTAACAATGAAAAGTTTGTTTCGTCTTTTGGTACAAAAGTTTCTGTCAGCTTGTCATCTGGAATCGGTTCCAACAAGCCTTTCTCGAAAAGAATGTTAACAGCTCTGACAATGTTGCACTTGCCTTTTCCGAACAATGGGTTTGTAAGACTTTCGTTCAACATGAAGTGGTTGTGGACAATTACAATCTTCAACCATGGTAAGTCTTTGTCAACAACATAGTCGTCATGTGAAGAACCTTTAGCTGTAGGTATGTTGACTCGGATATTGACATTTGCCAACGGTGCAATTTTTGCCAATTGACCTCTGAGCATGTACCTTGTCTTCACACATGACTCAAGATACTTCATTTTCTCTTCTGTAACAAGACCAGAGTTCCTGAGACATGTAAGAATACAAGGTTCATTGACAATTGTTTCAATTGAATTGTAAATTCCATACCTTGTCAAGTCAATGTCAGACTTATTTCTGAACGGGAAATACCCAGCATGTTGTCTGACTGCTTGAGGGTTAGGTTGGTACCATTCGAACTTGACACTTGCAATTCCTTCAATTGCATTCAAAATGTCTGAGTCGGAGTCAACCATTTGTTCTCTCTTTGTAGTCTTGAAAGCGTCAAGAAGTTTTGCAGCTGTTTGTTCATTGCCATTTGCATAGTAAATGTGACCATCCAAATCTGTTATGGTCAATCTGAGATTGTATCCTTTCTTATTTCCGTCTTGAATTGCAGCAAGTACACCCATGAAGCCTTCTTTGTTCTTTCCATCGTCAAAGTTTACTGTAAAGGTTCGACCAGATGTAATTTGGCTTCTAACTTCACGGTACTTCTCATATGCATATCTTGTTCTTTCCATGGGAGCATGACCATCCTCTGCACTACCTTTTTTCCTTCTCAAAGGATGCAATTGTTCGTCGTGTTTCCAGTAGAATCTGGCAAAGC